GTGCGAGTTACAGCCCACCACGCGCAGACTGACTGGTTATGGTGGTGAACAGCTCCCAGGAAAAGGCACATGCACTTTCAAATGCAAATACAAGGAAAGTGACATGATGTGGACTTTTACATTGTTGACACCTGCAGTGCTAGGCCTTAAAGCATTTTTAGACATGGACCTCATCAAACTAATTTTATCAGTGACAGCACCAGTAGAGACAGAGAATGTCATGGAGGTGTATGCTGATGTTTTTACAGGAATAGGACTATTCCCAGGATAATGTACCATTCACCTTGACCCAGACACAACCCCTGTGGTCTACCCACGAGAAAGATTCCCCTTGCTCTCCGCGCCCGTCTGAAGAAAGAGTTGGAGAGCATGGAGCAATCTGACATCGTCACCAAGGTTACAGAACCGACGGATTGGGTCAACGCGTTAGTGGTGGTGAAGAAACCACGCACAGGCAAGCTCAGAGTATGTCTCGACCCAAGAGACTTGAACAAGGCTATCAAACGCCCCCATTACCCCTTACCGGCGCTAGATGGCATCACACACAAGCTAGCGGGCGCACGCTACTTCAGTGTCATGGACGTCAGATCAGGCTACTGGGCTATCAAGCTCACAGAAGAGTCATCTAAGCTCACAACGTTCAACACACCGTTTGGAGGCTACAGGTTTCACTGCCTGCCTTTTGGGATTATCTCAGCCCAAGACGAGTTTCAGCGAAAGATCAACGAGGTGTACGAAGGCCTCGACGGAGTTGTGGCAATTGTGGACTACATCCTTGTCTATGGTCGAACCAAAAGAGGAACACGACAGAAACCTCAGCGCGATGCTGCAAAGGTCCTGTGAGAGAGAAGTCCGGCTCAACCCAGAGAAGAGCACAGTCGGCGCTACAGAGGTCAGCTACTTCGGACATCTTCTCACAGCGAATGGAATCAAGCCAGATCCGCAGAAGATCTCAGCCATAAAGGAAATGGAGCCACCAAAGAACCGCGCAGAGCTGGAAACAGTGCTTGGCATGGTCAACTACTTAGCCAAGTTCGCACCCAGCCTCTCCAATGCTAATGCACCCCTGCGTTAGCTGCTAAAACAGTCCAGTGAGTTCCTCTGGGACAAGCAACACAACATCGCTTTCCAGAAAGTGAAAGACTTGATCACGAGAGAACCAGGACCAATCCTTGCCTACTACGACCCCAACAAAGAGCTCAGACTCCAAGTGGACGCGTCGAAGTAAGAAGGAAAACCCATTGGCTACGCATCCAAATCTCTCACAGACTGTGAAATCAACTACGCTCAAATCGAAAAGGAGCTGTACGCCATTCTGTTCGGATGTAAGCGTTTCCATCAGTATGTCTATGGACGACAAGTCATTGTGGAATCCGACCACAAGCCCCTCGAGTCAATCATGAGGAAACCGCTAGCCGCAGCTCCGCCAAGGCTACAGAGAATGATCCTTCAACTACAAAAATACAACTTCACAATCACTCACCGTCCAGGCAAAGACATCCCTGTCGCAGACACACTCTCCAGGAAGTTTCTTACCTACAAGGACAGCAGCCTCAGTGAAGGCATGGACATGCAGGTGCACACTGTGTACAGCAACTTACCAGTTAGTGACACAAAACTGAAGGAGATCCGAGCAGAAACACACAACTCACACAGCTGAGGAAAGTCATACAGTCAGGATGGTCTGAGGAGAGGAGAAAATGCCCTCGGAGCGTCTCAGAGTTCTGGAACCATTGTGACGAACTATCACAGATCAACGAAATCATTTTCAAAGGAGAGAAAATCATCATTCCTACCAGTCTCAGAAAAGAGATTTTGACAAAGATCCATGCTGGATACATGGGCATGGAAAAGTGCAAACAGAGAGCACGGGACATTTTGTTTTGGCCCGGAATGTGCAAACAAATAGAGTACATGGTTGGTAAATGCCCCACCTGTCTTGAACGAAGCCCCTCAAACACAGAAGAGCCAATGTTACCTCACTGTATCCCAGACCGACCCTGGCAGGTCGTGGCAACCGATCTGTTCACCTGGAACAACGAGGACTACATCATAACAGTGGACTACTACAGCAGATACTTCGAACTCGACAAGCTTCACAGCACCACATCTGCAGCTGTGATACACAAGCTGAAAGCAGCCTTTGCCAGGCATGGCATTGTAGAGACTTTAATATCTGACAATGGCCCCTGTTACATATCAAATGAGTTTGAATCCTTCACAAAAGCATGTAATGGCCTTCCTGAAAAATCTGTGCAGATTGCTAAATCACTCATGAACAAAGTGGGCTCCCGAGTGGCGCAGCGGTCTAAGGCACTGCATCTCAGTGCTTGAGGCGTCACTACAGACCCCCTGGTTTGTTTCCAGGCTGTATCACAACCGGCTGTGATTGGGAGTCCCATAGGGCGGCGCACAATTGGCCCAGCGTCGTCCGGGTATGGCCGGTGTAGGCCGTCATTGTAAATAAGAATTTGTTCTTAACTGACTTGCCTAGTTAAATAAAGGTAAAAACAAGAGAGACCCCTACCTCAGTCTCCTTGAATACCGCAACACTCCAGTTGACAACTTCAAATCACCAGCCCAGCTGTTGATGAGCCGCAGACTTCGCTCCATCCTTCCCAGCACCAACCAGCAGCTGCAACCTGAGGTCGTCAGCTACAAGGAAATGCATGTAAAACGTGCACAGAGACAACAACACCAAAAGCGATACTACGACAGGTCAGCTAGACCACTGCCACCACTGAACGACGGAGAGTCAGTTAGAATCCAGGAACATGGCTACTGGAAGCCAGCAGTCGTCATCCAACCAGCTGACACTGAATGTTCATATCACGTTTGCACCGCAGAAGGAGCGGTGTACCGCCGCAATCGTCATCACCTACTGAACACAAAAGAACAACACACTGAGGAGATGAACTGTTCCCCTGAAAGAGAACGGGATGGACTAAACACACACACAACACTACATACACCATACTTACCTGCAACACCACAATAACTGTTGACTGACACAGAAGCATGCTCAGCTTCATATCACACAAGGTCAGGAAGAGAGGTCAAGCCTAGAGCTGTCCTAGACCTGTCAAAGGGTGTAGGCGGATCGCTGCCCTAAAAGAGTTCCAGACTGTAAACTTGTTATTGAAAAGTTAACTTGAAATGCTTTGGTATTGTATTTGTTTGAAATGTTGAGATGTCATTGCTGAGTTGCTGAAAAATATTTGTTCTAGAAGTAACAGTATGCTGAATCATTGTTTCAGAGTCTGTTATGTTGATGCAGTTGGTGCAGTATAAATGGTTACTTACCTCGAGTTCAAACTACAGAGCATGAATTCAAAAGAAACGCTTAAAATATGTAGAACATTTTTTATTTTATTTTTTAAAGAAGGGGGATGTAATATTCATATGTGTCAGCATACTGAATTGTAATTGGATGCATTCTACCGTCGTATCATACTGCGCTATGATTGGTTAAGACCACCCAGGTGGTGAGGTCATCTTCAGATGATCATGGCCGGAGACACATGAACAGACCAGTTATAGCTAGCTAATAAAGAGGTACGTTTAGGAAGATCCTGTCGTGCTGCATTTTATTATTTTGTACAAAGCATACAAAACAAGACAACATCATACATAGCCATATTGAAGACAGCATTCGTACAGGGTTACGACACTTTGAACAACAAGGATGCATTCTAGGGTTCATCACAGATCGCTAACATGATGTAAGAACGAGGTGGGCTTCTAGCATAAAGTTTCATTTAGTTACACATGATGCCAATGATGACACAAACAGTGTATCAATAATGAATCCAACATAGCAGAAATTGTAGGGGGGAAAAAATCCAGCATATTTGTAATTAGAAGCTTATAACGCCAAAGAACAATGTATATTATCATACATCAGTCAACCTTTTATTTTCAGAGCACTTGCAAGAATTTAAGACATGGAAATGGTGCAACAGTACCTCCTAGTGGTTGCTTACAGGTAGTATTTACTTAAATAGAAAATAGGGATTTTTGGGATGATTTTTCTTCTACACTTGATGGCCCTACATTTGTTCACATGGTTTATCACAAAGCAATGTTTTATGTGCATAAAATCATTGCATCCTCTTTTGAGTTGGCACCTCAAAGCTTTGCATCAAAGTCCTCGTCTGTGAAACTGGAATAAGGCCCAGTTAAATCAGTTATGTCTGACAATATAACACACATGAAAATTTAAAAAGGCACAGTCTTCTTTTTCAGCTAGCTTTTCAACTTGTTTCTTTCTCTGTACTGATATTGTTGTGCAGATAATACAAAGAACTGGTGTCAACATGATCCTGTTGAAACGCTTGTGAATCAGATATTACTGTTTGGCTTACAGGCAATTCACCATTGCTTTACAGTGGATCGTTATGTCTGTTGTACACATTCAGTTTGTTGGGCCACAGGACAGGCAGTCATCAGATTTTCTCCACATAGTTCCCAGGGAAGAGTCCCTCCTTGCCACGAAACCTGCCCCTCCACCAGCCTGATGCATCTACAAGGGAAAGGTAACCTAGCGGTTAAGAGCGTTGGGCCAGTAACCGAAAGGTCGCTGGTTCGAATCCCCAAGCTGACTAGGTGAGAAATCTGTCGATGTGGCCTTGAGCAAAGCATTTAACCCTAACTGCTCCTGTAAATCGCTCTGGATTAGAGCGTCTGCTAAATGACTAAAATTTCAAATGTAAAAAAAAAAATGAAAACAGAGAGATGAACAGCTGTGGACTACATACACATTACAGCCTAATGCCTCATCCAATTCAGGTCTGAGCATGAATTGATGCTGTGTGCTTATTCATGATCAGCACTTCAAGCATTACAGCAGTGGTGTACTAGTGCCAAGCGTCAAACACCTCAGTGTAGGTGCTCTAGTCTCCTCTTTCTTCCCCTTTCCTTTGTTCAGAATGGACACAGTTTCTTTTTTCACAAATAAACAATCGAGTACTATTCTATTCCCTCCATACGTGTACCTTACCTTCATTGAGCAGGTCGATGACATCATTGACGTCGAAGCTGAGCTCGTCTGTGTCCTGGCCAGCGTACTGGTACAACGCCCGGCAACGCGGGCCCATGGGGCGGGGCTTGGCCTTGGGCCGGCTGGACGGGGCCGGGGGCGGCCGCTGGCTGCTGATACTCCTCTTCCTCTGCATTCTGAAGAGAGATAGAAAGGGATGAGATATACAGGGAGAGAGAGATGAGAGCTCAACTTCTATCCTAGATATACAGAGAGAGAGAGATGAGAGCTCAACTTCTATCCTAGATATACAGGGAGAGAGAGATGAGAGCTCAACTTCTATCCTTCACTGCAGATAGTATATTTTTGTGAATTCCCACTGTATGCTCAGTTTATTCAGCTCACCCAGACACGCCCTGGTCAGGCACGTTGAGGAAGTCCAGGTTCCCCTGTTGAGTCTGAGTCTGGGCCGCGCCTCGTCTGGTATTCTGGGAGCCCAGTTTGGGGAGGGCAGCGCTGGGGGGGCGATTCTGTTTCTGGGAGGTGTAGGTGTGCTCTGACTGCTGGGGCGGTGGAGCACCTCTACCTCTGGGTGCACCATTCTGGGACCCTAGTCAAAGAAGAGGAACAGAGATACAAGGTAAACACAAGACAGACATACAGTATATCCATTCATACACTAATACCTCAACATAATTATCATGGTGGTGGTACACAGTTCATAGTAAGAAATACAAGTCCATGTTCATGGAGTGAGGCTTGCTGATGACGTAGGAACATGGCTGAACAGAATAATGAGTTTACCTCTGCTGGGAGGCTGACTCCTGCCGCCTGCACGGATCTGTAGCGCTCCCTTCTTGGTGGGCTCTGACAAAATAAACATGGAGAGTTTCAAAGGATGACATATTAAGATGAATAGGATAGGTTATACCAAGTCAGCCTTAGTATTCTATAGATCTACATGTCCATCTGTATCTACAGTATGTCTCTCTCTTTTCTCCTTCTGTATGTGCTTCTCTCTCTTCCTGTTACTCACTGGAGGTCTTGGGCAGGCCGTCTCCCACGGTGATGGTGAGGGTCTTTCCAGCTGGTCTGATCTCTGCCAGGTCCCCCTGTCCCTTCTGGAACACCACAACACGGGTGCCCCCTCCGCCCCAGCCCTCCTTCTTCACCCTAAACTCCAGCCTACAGAGAGCCACAACAGCGGACATGAATGATATAGTCATTTTACTAGATGCTTTTATCCAAAGTTAATCCAATCCACTAAACTATGGAGTCATATAGCAAGGATGTCGCTATCCAGTATGTGTGTAGTAATACCTGTCATTGAAGGAGAGAGGCAGCTTGTTCTTGGTCACCTCTTCATAGCGCTTACAGAGCAGGCTGAGGAACTCAGTCTTGAAGTTGGACTCCAGCAGACTGTCATACTGAGTCTCATGCACGATGAAGAAATCATCCTGTCTCATACTACAGAGAGTGGGAGAAATATATAAATGGAGAGTTTTAAGGGATTGGCTTTGGTAGAAGACAAAAAGAAGTGTCACACCCACACAGTAGGGTGATATAATAGCACAAAGGGAGTTTTAACAGATCCTGTGTTATCAGTTCCTGTTTATCATTAACCACTTTAACCACAAAAACTCCCAATGACACTGCCTGTAAATTACATCACACTGCACTGTTATACGCTATTCTAAGTTTAGCAGTGAGAAAAATCCTTTACCTGAGAGAGACAGAGTGGATACTCTCAAACTCCAGCTTCCGTTTTAACACCTCCTTTATCTGTCCCTTCTCTGGCCCCTTCTTCACCTTCTCTCTGCCTATCAGGTAGATGCCCTTGGGAGACAGAATCAGGTCCCTCTTGATGGACTGGAGAGAGAGAATAGGAGGGGGAGAGAATGAGAGAGAGTAAGTGGATATAAATGGAAGAAGGAAGACGTTAACCCCATGCTGTGCTGTTAACCCAGACATTGGCTCTGTTTTCCTCAGCGCTCTGTGGGGGAGGAAGGGGTATGCGCACCTTGAACCTGCGGTCAAACTTGTTGACAGAATCTGCGAAGTCAATTCGCTCCCTCTTGGCCAGGAACTGTCTGAGCTCAGGCCTCTGCTCCAGTCCCAGGTAGTCTCCTACAAAGTTCCTGTTGATGCTGTTCCTCCTCCGCTCCTTAGAGTTGTACAGGATGTCTGAGGCTGGGGACAACATAGGAGAGAGAGTTCCTGGGAATGTTAAGGAAGACCCTCTGAGGGCATATTCATTGCTGTATCATTTATGTATAATCATTTTTCTTTCTTGTTCCATCCCCACACACCTCTCCAGGATCATTGACACACTCACCATCCTCCCTCATCTGTTCATATTTCCGCCTGGCGATGTACTTCCTCCAGGCCTTCTGGATGGTCCTGGCGAACGTGTCGAATTTCCTCTCCCTCATCTCCTCCAATAGGAAGAGCTAGAGGAGACGGAGGGGAGAGGGGAGAGGGAATGCTTAGATCAAATACATTACTTTTTTTTTCTGGGGGATGGATCAGCTTAAAATTGCAGATAGATTGTATCTTCTATCAATGTAATTGTCTGCATCACTTCCAATCCCCCATGTTTTTTATATATATACTCCCCTTTATTACTTTTCAACCCCGCCATCCTTTCCCTACTTGGAGTAAATTAGTGAACAACAATGCCCAGGCCTCTACTTCCGGCCTATACTTACTATCTACACCAGGGGTGTCAAACTCATTTTAGCTCAGGGGCCACATGGAGGAAAATCTATTCCCAAGTGGGCCGGACCGGAAAAATCATGGTATATATAACTTAAAAACAACAACTTCAGATTGTTTTCTTTGTTTTAATACGATCAACATACAACATAAAGCTGGAGCCTGAGGACAGTGTGTCCAAAATAGTACAAGCACAACATCACTATTAATCATAAAACACGTCAAGTTTATTTGAAAATTCTAAAGAAAAAGAACACACAAACACACAATGCCTCAGTGATTAACAGAACTGTTTCACAGATCACAGAACTATATCAGTGTGTCATTTCTCAGGCAGAAATGTAGATAAAAATAATAAAATCCTGTTCCCCAAACAAGTGCAAGAACCACAGAGTCAAGAATAGGTTAAATATACAAATAAAATAAAATAAATTAAAAACAATAGCACATCAACATAAAAACATATAAACATAAAGCTGGAGCCTGAGGACAGTGTCCAAAAGCACAACATCACTATTAATCATAAAACACCTCAAGTTATTTGAAAGTTCTGAGGACAAAGAACACACAAACACACAATGCCTCAGTGATTAACAGAACTGTTTCACAGATCACAGAACTATATCAGGGTGTCATTTCTCAGGCAGAAATGTAGATAAAAAGAATGAAATCCTGTTCCCCAAACAAGTGCAAGAACCACAGAGTCAAGAATAGGTTAAATATACAAATAAAATAAAATCAATTAAAAACAATAGCACATCAACATAAAAACATATAAACATAAAGCTGGAGCCTGAGGACAGTGTCCAAAAGCACAACATCACTATTAATCATAAAACACCTCAAGTTATATGAAAGTTCTGAGGACAAAGAACACACAAACACACAATGCCTCAGTGATTCACAGAAGTATATCACAGATCACAGAACTATATCAGGGTGTCATTTCTCAGGCAGAAATGTAGATAAAAATAATGAAATCCTGTTCCACAAACAAGTGCAAGAACCACAGAGTCAAGAATAGGTTAAATATACAAATGAAATAAAATCAATTAAAAACAATAGCACATCAACATAAAAACATATAAACATAAATCTGAAAGCGTTGCTCAAACTCCCGTAACAGTCCCGTTATTTTATCTTTGAACCGCTTCATACATTTACATTACATTTTAGTCATTTAGCAGACGCTCTTATCCAGAGCGACTTACAGTTAGTGAATGCATACATGTTTTTTTTTGTTTTTTTATACTGGCCCCCCGTGGGAAACGAACCCACATCCCTGCCGGCCAAACCCTCCCCTACCTCGGACGACGCTGGACCAATTGTGCGCCGCCCATGGGTCTCCCGGTCGTGGCCGGCTGCGACAGAGCCTGGACACGAACCAGGATCTCTAGTGGCACAGCTAGCACTGCGATGCAGTGCCTTAGACCACTGCGCCACTCGGGAGTCATGACACACAGAGAGCCATGTATTTAGAGAGTCGGGACATTGAGGTTCCTGCATTATGATGATTTACATGACACTAGAAAATATGGCAGCCATGATAGCACCCCATTAACATTACATGGCAGTCTTACGTCAGATAGAGCGACGATTCCGCCTGCACTGGTCCCTGTTGAGGGACGAGCGTCGCGTAGGAGTGACGCCACCTTTCTTGTTACTGCTCTAATTAAGTTGGTAACTAGTTTAGAATAGCAATAAGGCACCTCGGGGTTTGTGGTATATGGACAACATACCACAGCCAAGGGCCGTATCCAGGCACTCTGCGTTGCGCATAAGAACAGCCCTTATCCGTGGTATATTGGCCATATATGTCTGCCACATGTTGGGTCGCGCACACATTTTTCAGACAGGGGAAGTGAGCTGCATCACCACCGGCAAGTTGCGTCTCCCACAATGACAGCTTCAACTTGAAAGAACGTATGCTGTCATAATACTGCGTGACAACTTTGTTGCGCCCTTGCAGCTGTTTGTTCAAGTTATTCAGGTGCTCTGTAACATCTACCATAAATGCAAGGTCCTGCATCCATTCTGCGGAATGAAATTCTAACACTGGTTTGCCCTTTTCTTCCATGAACTGTTCAATTTCTTCTCGTAAATCAAAGAAACGCCTCAGCACAGCACCTCGGCTTAACCATCTTACCTCAGTGTGGTATGGCAGGCCATAGATGTGGTCTTTCTCTCTGAGAAGGCTGTCAAACTGACAGTGATTCAGGCTTCTGGATAGGATGAAATTAACAGTTTGGATGACCACCTTCATGACGTTATCCATCTTTAATGACTTGCAACACAAAGCCTCCTGGTGCAAAATACAATGAAAAGTAAAAAAATCACATCCTCCATTTGCAGATTGCACTTTCTCTCTGAACTTTGTCACAACGCCTGCTTTTTTCCCGATCATTGAGGGCGCATCATCTGTAGCCAGGCTGACAGCGCAGGACCAGTCCACTCCGACCCTGTCCAGCGCGCCGACGAGTGCGGTAAAAATATCAGCTGCTGTCGTTGTATCTGTCATCGGCACCAACTCCACGAACTCCTCGGTGACGGTCAATGTGTCATCAACTCCGCGGATGAAAATGGCCAGTTGTGCAACATCTGTAATGTCCGTGCTTTCATCAATTGCAACCGAAAACGCAATAAATGACTTTACTTTTTGCTTCAACAGGCTGTCCAAATCCACTGAAAGATCCACTGAAAGATGTTTCTTGTCAGGCTGATATTTGCAAAAGCCTGCCGCTTTTCAGGGCACACAATCTCCGCTGCCTTCATCATGCATGTTTTTACAAATTCACCCTCAATAAATGGTTTTGAAGCCACTGCGATTTCATTAGCAATGAGGTAGCTAGCTTTCACTGCAGCGTCACTGATGTCTCGGCTGTGAGTAAACACAGACTGCTGTTTCTTCAGACCCACCAACAGTTCATTCACCTTCTCTCTTCTCCGCTGTCCTTGAAAGTTGTCATATTTGTCGGCATGAAGACTCACATAGTGGCGATGGTAATAAATATCGCGGGCAAAACAAAGTAGCTCATTGGCTGCACGTGCTTGACCTACTTGCTCTGCCCCGGTATAAACAGTTTGCTTGCTTAACACAATTGCTATTGCGCCATCCAGTGGACGCAATTGGAACAGCAGTTTATTTAATAGAAAAATTGCAGTGCATTTTTATACTTGACCTTTTTTTTTTTTTTTTTTTTTTTTTTTTATCATCTCGCGGGCCGGATTAAACCCGTTTGCGGGCCTGATCCGGCACCGCAGGCCGGACGTTTGACACCCCTGATCTACACCTTATGGACACAGTTAATTTTACAATAATTCTATTATATATATATATTATTATTTTTTTGCTCCTGAACTTCTTCTACTCTCAACCTCTCCGATCATTTTCATGATGTCCATCCGGTTTGCTTCTATATGCCATATCTTTCTAACTGTGCTCTTTTCCAAAAGCTCCCAACATACAACCTATCTACTTGTTATGGACACAGTATGCTTACATTATTAGCGATCTTTGTTATTATTTGTTCTTATTTGTTATTAGTCTCATCCTGTCACGATCGTTTACGGACGAGAAGGACCAAGGCGCAGCGTGATATGCATTCATATTTATTTACAGCTAAACACACAACAAAACAACAAACAAAACGTGAAGTCCAAGGTAGCATACAAACAACATACCTTACACGGAACAAGATCCCACAACCCACTAGTGCCAACAGGCTACCTAAGTATGGTCCCCAATCAGAGACAACGAGCTACAGCTGCCTCTGATTGGGAACCACCCTGGCCAACATAGATCTAAACGATCTAGAAACTAAACATAGAAAACACAACATAGAAACTACACACCCTGGCTCAACATTTAAGAGTCCCCAGAGCCAGGGCGTGACAGTACCCCCCCCCCCCCCCCCCCCCCCCCCCCCCCAAAGGTGCGGACTCCGACCGAGCAACCTAAACATAACAGGGTAGGGGCCGGGTGGGCCGGCTCCGGGCGTGACCACCACCTATTATCCGCCTCCCTGTTGCGCCCCTGGTCTGGTCTGGAACCGCTGACTGGAGCTGGACCCGACGACGGTGGATCGAACTGCTCTGGCTCCGGAGTGGAGCCGCTGACCGGAGCTGGATCAGGCACCGGTGGAGCGGACTGCTCTGGCTCCGGAGTGGAGCCGCTGACCGGAGCTGGACCCCGGTGGAGCGGATTGCTCTGGCTCCGGAGTGGAGCAGCTGACCGGTGCCGGACCAGGCACCGGTGGAACAGGCACGGGCCGTGCCGGACTGGACACACGCACCACTGGCTTGGTGCGGGGAGTAGGAACGGGCCGGACCTGGCTGGCGACGCGCAACACTGACTTGGTGCGAGGGACAGGAACGGGCCGAACCGTACTGGGAACACACACCACTGGCTTAGTGCGGGAAGCGGGAACGGGCCGGACCGGACTGGCGACACGCACCACTTGATTGGTGCGAGGAGCGGGACTGGGTTCCTTCATTAACCCCCGCTCCTTCTGCTGCCTAACCAGCTCCTCTCGCCGTGCCTCTACACTTTCCTTCTGCTCCCTCTGAACCAATGACCCCCCTAATCTGGTGGCCTCCTCTGCTAAACAGCGGAACCGCTCTATCGCGGCCTCCTGCTGCCTCGTCGTCCACGGCGTGAGCCCCCCCCCTAAATGTTTTGGGGGATTGTCTCTAAACCTTTCTATTCTCATTGCTTCTACAGATTGTGAATTAAAAATAAACATTTTTGCTAAAAGTATTATTATATTATTGATCGATTGACTATGACTTTTCAGATCACCCAGTAATGCTATCTGCAAGGTTAGCTCCAGGTAAATATTGCAATCCTTTAGCCATTCCTGGACCTGTGTCCAAAAACAAGCTACAAATGGACAGAACCAAAACAAATGATCTAATGATTCTGTCTCTTCACAGCAAAATCTGCAGAGCTGGGAAGATTGTATCCCCCATATAAATAACATTCTATTGGTAGCAAGAATTTTATATAATAATTTAAATTAAAAGATTCTAATTTTTGAATCCAGTGTCGTTTTGCGTGTCAGTTCATAAACACTATGCCATGGGATCGGTACGTCAAAAATCTCTTCCCAACTATTTTGCGATCTATATGGGACGGCTGTCAATCCTTTGGTCCTTAAGTGAAACTGATATACTTTTTTATTTATCACAGTTTTATGTTCTTTAATGCAAGGCCGACAGACAAGTTCCTTACTTTCTCCCCCTTCCACTTTCCTCTTCCACTTTTGCGGTAAGGCTGCAATTATTTGGTTGTAATTTTGGGTAGAGCAGACATTTCCATATGTTTTTGTTAGCTGCATGTGCGACATAACTCCACCAGTCCTACCGATGATATCATTTACGAAGATTATACCTTTTTTAAACATTCTGTCAAAAAATAAAGGTTTTTTGTCAATTAGTATATTTGAATTTAACCACAATATTTGTTGCATTATTTGTTCTGTCGTTTCTGGAGGATTAAATTGAAATTGCAACCAACTTTCTATGGCTTGTTTTAGAAATAGTGATATTTGGGAGATGATTTCCTTTTCAAATAACTGCAAATGAGTTGTTGTAATCTGAATAAAGGGGAAAAGGCCTTTCTTGAACATTGGGTGAGACAATCTTACTAATTTGCTTGAGAACCAGTTCGGATTTAAGTATAACTTTTGTATGACTGAAGCTTTTAGTGATAGGTCTAATGCTTTAATATTTAATCATTTCTGTCCTCCGAATTCATATTCATTATATAAATATGCCCTTTTAATTTTGTCTGGCTTGCCGTTCCAAATAAAATTGAATATTTTTTTCTCATATAATTTAAAAAACTGTTCTCTAGGCGTAGGCAAGACCATAAACAAATAGGTGAACTGGGATAATACTAAAGAGTTAATCAGGGTGATTTTTCCACAAATTGACAGGTATTTTCCTTTCCATGGTAGTAAGATCTTATCTATTTTTGCTAACTTTCTATTAAAATGTATTGAAGTGAGATCATTTATTTCCTTTGGGATATGTATTCCGAGTACATTTTATTGGTAAACTACATGGTAATGTAAAAATTGTATTTTTTAGTGATCCAATACATAATATAGTACATTTGTCATAATTTGGTTGTAATCCAGAGAGGTTAGAAAATGTATCTAGATCCTCTATGAGGCTGTGGAGGGATTCTATTTGTGGATTTAAAAGAAAACATGAATCATCAGCGTACAATGACACCTTTGTTTTTAAGCCCTGGATTTCTAATCCTCTGATATTATTATTGGATCTGATTTTAATAGCTAACATCTCGATGGCCACAATAGATATGCCGATAGTGGACAACCTTGTTTCACTCCTCTTGACAGTTTAAAACTTTCTGAGAAATAGCCATTATTTACTATTTTACACCTAGGGTTACTATACATGATATTGACCCATTTTATAAGAGATTCTCCAAAATTGAAATGATCCAGGCATTTATATATAAACCCCAGTCGAACTTTATCAAATGCCTTTTCGAAGTCTGCTATGAATATGAATTTCCCATATTTTCCATAGTGTTCTATTGTTTCCAATACTTGCCTTATATTATATCCAATGTATCTTCCATGTAAAAAACCTGTCTGATTAGAATGAATAATATCCGACAATACCTTTTTAATTCTATGCGCTATACATTTTGCTAGAATTTTTGCATCACAACACTGAAGTGTAAGGGGCTTCAAATACATTACTTTGCAGTGTATAGATGAATACCTCACACCTTTTAATACAGTTCATGTATTCACCCTTAAACCGGGAAGTCCCATTGAGAAACAGCACTTTTCCCAGGGAGAACTATGTTGGTCCCTACCGACTCTGGGGCCTTGACGAAGACCTTGGAGCGTCCCATCTGGTACTGGTCTGTGTCCATGTTGACAGAGCGGAGGAGATGCAGGACCCCTTGCTGCTCTCCCCCCCGCCAGCACGGCCACGTCTCCGCCGTCAGGATGGCATACCTGCAGGCCAAACACAGTGAGTCAGGCACTGGGTAGAGCATACAGTACACCCTCCATCCCCCCACACATACTGAGAGGACACCCAGCAGACACTGAAGGACACCCAGCAGACATTGAAGGACACCCAGCAGACAATGAAGGACACCCAGCAGACACTGAAGGACACCCAGCAGACACTGAGAGGACACCCAGCAGACACTGAAGGACACCCAGCAGACACTGAAGGACACCCAGCAGACACTGAAGGACACACACCTAAGAGTAAGTAAGACTCACCTCTGTAGGAACTTATTGAAGACTCTGCGGTAGGCGTAGCCGGCTCGACGTACACGGATATTCTCCCGCAGCCCAAGGTACTCCACCTGGTGCTTGGCCCTAAATACACACACACACACACACACACACACACACACACACACACACACACACACACACACACACACACACACACACACACACAGGTTCAATATCCTCTATGTTCTAATGTTCCAAACTAGAGCATTATAGCTCCCTGCTGAATTCCCTAAATGTTCTGCTATTGTATATGATGTCTGTTAGGGGGTGTTATAGGGACACACCGACTCTCTTCCCAGTCCTTGGGTCTCTTAGTCTCGTTGGGTTTGATACATCGGATATAGTGGGGGGTGCACTTCATTAACGTGTTCACCAGATCATTGGCTTGTTTCTGCAGAGAGAACATAAGAGAGGGATGTACCACCACGTACTAATAACCTCAAACTCAACCACTGAACCATAGTGCTGGTAGTAGAGTGGGGACTGTTACCTTGATCTTAGAGCTAGCAGTGGTGGGCCTGCTCTTCTTGTCTGTGTTGAGGTTTTCAGGGAAGAGGCTGCGGATGAAGGCACTATGGGGACAAGATTGAGGACCATATTGAATTGCTTTTCACATTAAGTTAGGCTTGCAAGCATTTTAGCTAGGTAGCCTATGAAAACAAAAACTAAAAGTGTACTGAATGACAGAGCCATAGACCTTTTTGCCAACATGAAAGAGAGGAGGATGGCATTGGGGTTCAACTTTTTGTTTTTCCACTTGCGTGAGCAAGCACACACACAAACACACAGAAATCAGTGCCATGGACAGCCACATGATATTTAGCAACATCGATTGGGACTAAATTGTTTTTGGTATCTTTAAGTTTGTTTTCAGTGTATTAAACTAAGCCTTGTTGATTTGATGATGTTTAAGTTGAAATGGTGCTGGAATAGTGGAGGCGGTGCTCCTGTTGTCTTTGTGCTGACTTGCGGTAACTCTGTGGTTCTAAATCAGTAGTAAACTGTCAAAAACATGAACTTGCTTGACCATACTGCAGGTCATATAACTGTCTGTTACATGCAATATTTGCTTTGTGGACTTTACCGGACAGATGTTGCTCTCCGGTTTTGTGATTAAACAAACGTATGTGTAGTTGAATTTATTCCGCCACTGTGTGACTGTTGTCTTTTTGTTGTCACGGCGTTATTGTATATCACTGTGGCGTATGAACGAATGGGTTGTAGTCCCGTGTAGCTCAGTTGGTAGAGCATGGCGTTTGCAACTCCAGGGTTGTGGGTTCGTTTCCCACGGGGGACCAGTATGAAAAATAAAAATGTATGCACTCACTAACTGTAAGTCGCTCTGGATAAGAGCATCTGCTAAATGACTAAAATGTTAAATGTTATAGAGCAAACAATGCAAATATCAAATATCTAGCTAGATAAAAACTAAAAGCTTCCAGCAAAGTTCGGCACTCTCAGTTCTGAGTTCCGACACTTGTCAGATGGTAGTGTAACATCAGTAGTGCTTCGAAAACTGTGTCGGAGCTCCGGTATCAATCATCCCGTCATTAGGGAGCAATAATAAATATTCTGTTACATTAACATTTTAGTCATTTAGCAGATGCTCTTATCCAGAGCAACTTACAGTTAGTGAGTGCATACATACTTTTTTTACTTTTCATACTGGCCCCCCATGGAAATCGAACCCACAACCCTGGCGTTGCAAACGCCATGCTCTACCAACCGAGCTACATCCCTGCCGGCCATTCCCTCCCCTACCCTGGACGACGCTGGGCCAATTGTGCGCCGCCCCATGGGTCTCCTGGTCGCGGCCGGCTATGACAGAGCCTGGATTCGAACCAGGATCTCTAGTGGCACAGCTAGCACTGCGATGCAGTGCCTTAGACCACTGCGCCACTTGGGAGAAGAAGTTGCAATCTTCAGTTGGCTCCTCTTTCCTATATTCCTAAAATTATTAATGTGATATAATGCTTATGTCATTGAGAATGTATGAGCAGTTGAAATTTGGCCATAGAATCAATGACCAAAAAATGTTGTATTTTCAACGTCTGGAAAATATGTCTTTTTGACATCCAGAAAATACGTTGTTTTCATCTTTCATTCAGCACCTAAAATGCACCTGATTTCAACGTCAGAAAAATACATATTTTTAACGTCTGGAAAATATGTATTTTCAACGTGCAGATAATGTGTTTTCAATGTCCGGAAAATATGTATTTTCGACGTCCATAAATTGTACTTTCGACGTGAATAAAATATGTATTTTCACCTTTCGTTCAGCACATAAAATGAACCTGACGTCAAATAGGTTTTGCTTACTGGGATCTGTCTGTTAAGGTAAAGATGGAGGTATACATACTGTTCGCTGCTCTGCATGAGTTCAATAAGGTCAGTAAAAAGCACATCCCGGTTTCTCTCACAGAAGCCGTTTATTTCGTAGGAGACCTGAGGTGACAGATAATACATAATGTGTCAACCTTAAAATCCACACCAACCTTCACACCTCACCCACATCTACCCACATGAAGTGTTTACTTAAATCAGTTTTGAGTTTAGAACTCTTGTCTTCTCCTGGTACTCACCTTGCCTGCGTAGTGGTGGATGACGAAGCCAGAGTTCCAGCTGTTAAAGTGTTCGTGTGTGCCCACCGCCGCAGAGAGCTTCTGGAGCAGGGTGCCGTCTGCCCCCTCACCCTTGGCATGCATGGTGGCACACACATCATCCAGCACGCTCATGATGCCTGGCGGGTTCTGGGGGGGAGAGGGATTGTTAGAAATGTAGAGTGGTAGCCACAAACATAATATACAGTCACATCCGAAATGATTGGCACCATTGATAAAGTTTAGCAAAAAAGACTGTATCAAATTAATAACACAGATACTGAGCGACAGTGAGCTCCAAAAGTTTGGGGACAGTGACAATTTTGTTGTTTTGGCTCTGTACTTCAGCACTTTGGATTTGAAATGATACAGTGACTATGAGGTTAAAGTGCAGACTGTCAGCTTTAATTTGAGGGTATTTCCATCCATATCGGGTGAACCGTTTAGAAATTACAGCACTTTTTGTACATAGTCCCCCCAGTTTAGGAGACCAAAAGTATTGGGACAAATTCACTTATGTGTATTAAAGTACAGTACCAGTCAGGGTTTTTCTTTATTTTTACTATTTTCTACATTGTAGAATAATAGTGAAGACAAAACTATGAAATAACACATATGGAATCATGTAGTAACCAAAAAAGTGTCAAACAAATCAAAACATATGTTATATTTGAGATTCTTCAAAGTAGCCACCCTTTGCCTTGATGACAGCTTTGCACACTCTTGGCATTCTCTCAACCAGCTTCATGAGGTAGTCACCTGGAATGCATTTCAATTAACAGGTGTGCCTTGTTAAAAGTTAATTTGTGGAATTTCTGTCACACTCTGGCTCCAGGACTTGTGTATTTGAGCCAGGGTGTATGTTGTTTTGTTGGGTTTTGGGTGATGTTTTATGGTTGCATGTCTGTCACGTTTATTTCTAGGTGGGGAGTTCTGTTGTGTCTATTTCTAGGTTGTGGTTGTGTTTCCTTGTTTGTATTCAATGACTCCCAATCGGAGGTAACGAGTGTCAGCTGTCGGCTCGTTATCTCTGATTGGGAGCCATATTTAAGATGTAGGTTTTCTTGTGTTAGTTGTGGGTTTTTGTTCTATGTTCAGTCGGTGTACTGAGGACGTTACGGATCGTGTTTTGTTTTGTCGTTATTTCACATTAAAGTCATCATGTTCACTCCCAACGCTGCGCTTTGGTCCTACTTTATTGGCGATCGTGACAGAAAAACCCACCACAACGAGACCAAGCAGCAGTTGGATAACGGGTGGTGGAGCCAGAAGAGTGAAGGTTGGGAGAGGACTATGGAGGCCTGGTCCACCGAGAGGAGAGACCCCCAGAAAATTTTTAGGGGGGGGCTCACGACGTCGGGGCAGAAGGTGTACGGCCCGGAGGAGTGCAAGAGGTTGGCAGATATGGCCGCCAGTTTAAGGGGGCCACTGGTTACGAAGGGGATGGAAAGTGTGGAGGCACGGCGAGAGGTACTGGGGGGTGTTTCCAGTCCGGTCCGGCCCGTTCCTGATCCCCGTGTAGGGCCAGGGGTGTGTGTCCCCAGTGCGGTTCTGCCTGTCCCTGCTCAACGCCCCGAGCCTACGGGGTGCGTCGTCAGCCCTGTCCAGCCAGAGCCGTCCGCCAGACAGGATCAGCCAGAGCCTTCCGCCAGACGGGATCAGCCAGAGCCTTCCGCCAGACGGGATCAGCCAGAGCCTTCCGCCAGACAGGATCAGCCAGAGCCTTCTGCCAGACAGGATCAGCCAGAGCCTTCCGCCAGCCAGGATCCGCCAGAGCCGTCCAGCCATGAGCAGCCAGATCCGTCAGCCGGCCATGAGCAGCCAGATCCGTCAGCCAGCCATGAGCAGCCAGATCCGTCAGCCAGCCATGAGCAGCCAGATCCGTCAGCCAGCCATGAGCAGCCAGATCCATCAGCCAGCCATGAGCCGTCCAGCCAGGATCCGCCAGAGCCGTCCAGCCAGGATCCGCCAGAGCCGTCCAGCCGGGATCCGCCAGAGCCGTCCAGCCGGGATCCGCCAGAGCCGTCCAGCCGGGATCCGCCAGAGCCGTCCAGCCGGGATCCGCCAGAGCCGTCCAGCCAGGATCCGCCAGAGCCGACCAGCCAGGAGCCACCAGAGCCGTCCAGCCAGTATCCGCCATTCAGCCTGGTACTGCCCCTTAGTCCGGTACTGCCCCTTAGTCCGGTACTTCCCCGTAGTCCGGTGCTGCCCCTTAGTCCGGTGCCGCCCCTTAACCCAGTGGGGTGTAGTTGGGGGGTGGTAATGTGGAGGAGGCTAGGGAAGCGGGTGGTGACTAAGGTGGGATGGGGACCACGACCAGGGGCAGAACCGCCACCGTGGACAGACGCCCACCCAGACCCTCCCCTAGACTGTATGCTGGTGCGCCCGGAGTTCGCACCTTTAGGGGGGGGTACTGTCACACTCTGGCTCCAGGACTTGTGTATTTGAGCCAGGGTGTATGTTGTTTTGTTGGGTTTTGGGTGATGTTTTATGGTTGCATGTCTGTCACGTTTATTTCTAGGTGGGGAGTTCTGTTGTGTCTATTTCTAGGTTGTGGTTGTGTTTCCTTGTTTGTATTCAATGACTCCCAATCGGAGGTAACGAGTGTCAGCTGTCGGCTCGTTATCTCTGATTGGGAGCCATATTTAAGATGTAGGTTTTCTTGTGTTAGTTGTGGGTTTTTGTTCTATGTTCAGTCGGTGTACTGAGGACGTTACGGATCGTGTTTTGTTTTGTCGTTATTTCACATTAAAGTCATCATGTTCACTCCCAACGCTGCGCTTTGGTCCTACTTTATTGGCGATCGTGACAATTTCTTTCCTTCTTAATGCATTTGAGCCAATCAGTTGTGTTGTGACAAGGTAGGGGTGGTATATAATAATAATAATAATAATAATAATATGCCATTTAGCAGACGCTATATAGAAGATAGCCCTATTTGGTAAAAGACCAAGTCCATATTATTGCAAGGACCGCTCAAATAAGCAAAGAGAAACGACAGTCCGTTATTACTTTAAGACATGAAGGTCAGTCAATCCGGAGAACTTCAAGAACTTTGAAAGTTTCTTCAAGTGCAGTCGCAAAAACCATCGAGCGCTATGATGCAACTGGCTCTCATGAGGACCGCCACAGGAAAGGAAGACCCAGAGTTACTTCTGCTGCAGAGGACAAGTTCATTAGAGTTACCAGTCTCATAAATTGCAGCCCAAATAAATGCTTCACAGAGTTCAAGTAACAGACACATCTCAACATCAACTGTTCAGAGGAGACTGCGTGAATCAGGCCTTCATGGTCAAATTGCTGCAAAGAAACCACTACTAAAGGACACCAATAAGAAGAAGAGACTTGCTTGGGCCAAGAAACACGAGCAATGGACATTAGACCGGTGGAAATCTGTCCTTTGGTCTGATGAGTCCAGATTAGAGATTTTTGGTTCCAACCACCGTGTCTTTGTGAGACGCAGAGTAGGTGAACGGATGATTTCCGCATGTGTGGTTCCCACCGTGAAGCATGGATGAGGAGGTGTGATGGTGTGGGGGTGCTTTGCTGGTGACACTGTCTGTGATTTATTTAGAATTCAAGGCACACTTAACCAGCATGGCTACCACAGCATTCTGCAACGATACGCCATCCCATCTGGTTTGCGCTTAGTGGGACTATTCAACAGGACAATGACCCAACACACCTCCAGGCTGTGTAAGGGCTATTTGACCAAGAAGGAGAGTGATGGAGTGCTGCATCAGATGACCTGGCCTCCACAATCACCCGACCTCAACCCAATTGAGATGGTTTGGGATGAGTTGGACTGCAAAGTGAAGGAAAAGCAGCCAACAAGTGCTCAGCATATGTGGGAACTCTTTCAAGACTGTTGGAAAAGCATTCCAAGTGAAGCTGGTTGAGAGAATGCAAAGAGTGTGCAAAGCTGTCATCAAGGCAAAGGGTGGCTACTTTGACGAATCTCAAATATAAAATATATTTTGATTTGTTTAACACTTTTTGGGTTACTACATGATTCCATATGTGTTATTCATAGTTTTGATGTCTTCACTATTATTATACAATGTAGAAAATAGTAAAAATAAAGAAAAACCCTTGAATGAATAGGTGTGTCCAAACTTTTGACTGGTAGTGTAGTCAAAGGTTTAGTATTTCGTCCCATATTCCTACTCTACAAACTTGTTGGATGCATTTGCTGTTTGTTTTGGTTGTGTTTCAGATGATTTTGTGCCCAATAGAAATGAATGAATGGTAAATAATGTATTGTGTCATTTTGGAGTCACTTTTATTATAAATAAGAATAAAATATGTTTCTAAACACTTCTACATTAATGTGGATGCTACCATGATTACACATAGTCCTGAATGAATTGTGAATAATGATGAATGAGAAAGTTACAGACGCACAAATGTCATACCCCCAAGACATGCTAACCTCTCACCATTACAATAACAGTGGAGGTTAGCATTTTTTTGGGGGGGGTATGATATTTGTGCATCTGTAACTTTCTCACTCATCACTATTCACGATTCATTCAAGACTTACACTGTGTAATTAGCCCCAGAGATACTAGCCCCGAAGATAGGCTATGCAAAGTCATACCAACTTTGCCACTGTCACACACCAGCCGGCTGAAGCTAATTGGCAAATAATTAGGCTAACTCTTACCACCTGCAAACACACACAAGAGACACCCACACCCTGAAACTAACTCACGTTTGAATTCAGTCATGGCCGCTAGCATTTCTTAATTAAGCAAGTTTAAAACAGGAGGTCAAATCAGGAAGTGTAGTTGCCCTTTAAAGCTGCAATATGTAATTTCTTTGGCGACTTGACCAAATAACATATAAATATGGGTTATAGATCTGTCATTCGCATTAAAAGCAAGTCTAGGAAGTGGTAGATCTGTTCTATGTGCGCTATTTTTATGCTTCCCGTTCTTAAGTTTTGTTTATGCGTCTTATACTTTTGGTTTTGTACACCAGCTTCAAACAGCTAAAAACAAAATAATTTTGGTTATGGAACGGATATTTGACAGCGGTTTAGATGGTACAATGATTATCTACACTATACTTGTTTGTATTGTCACAAACTGAAATTAGGCAAACAATTAGAATTTTAGCAACCAGGAAATGGAGGAACGATTTATGCATACTGCATCTTTAAGGAACTGTATTGTAGCCTTTTGTGGCTTTCCCTGGGGTATAAAAATGAGGTAACACGCATGCAAAATCCATTTGTCATCCATCACCATGGGGAAAGGCAAAGAATTCACTAATGAAAAGAGACAAATGGCTGTTGACTTTCATAAATCAGCCAATGGGTACAAAAAACCCACAGAAAACCGAATACACCACTTAACACTATTAGGGCAACAATGGAGAAGTTTAAAACCACTGGAACAGTGGTAAACTTACCTGGTAGAAGACCCAAGTGTATCTTGTCCCCACGCACAGTGAGGAAGATCGTTCCGGAGGCAAAGAAAAGTCTGAGGGCCACAGTTGTAGAATTACAGAACTTGGTCGCATCTTGGGGTCACCAAGTCTCCAAATCTACAATTAGACGCCACCTCCATGCCAATAGGCTATTTGGAAGGGATGCCATAAAAAAGCCTATATTGAGAGCAACCAACAAATGTAAACGGATTGAGTTTGCTAAATTGCATTGGCATTTGGATTGGAACCGGGTGCTATGCTCAGATGAGACGAAAATAGAGCTCTTTGGCACGCACACCAGTGGTGGGTTAGGCCTCGAAAGAAGGATGCATATGCAGAAAAGAATGTCATACCTACTGTAAAATATGCTGGTGGATCTTTGATGTTATGGAGATCATGAACTCTACCAAGTACCAGGACATTTTAGCCAAAAACCTGGTTGCCTCGGCCAGGAGGCTGAAACTTGGCCGCAATTGGATCTTCCAGCAAGACAATGATCCCAAGCAACATCAAAATCCACAAAGAAATTGTTAATTGAACACAAAATCAACATTTTGCAAAGGCCATCTCAGTCTATGGACTTGAAACCCACTGAAAACCTGTGGTTTGAATTGAAGAGGGCAGTCCATAAGCACAGACCGAAAGATATAAAGGATCTGGAAAGATTCTGTGTGGAGGAATGGTCTAAGAGCCCTCCCGATGTGATCTTCAATCTCATAAAACATGATAGAAAAAAGCTAAGTGCCGTTATCCTCGTAAAGGGTAGGTTTGCACAAAGTATTGAAAACAGGGGTGGCAATAATTTTGACACCCATCTTTAAAAAAAATGGTATTACTTGTTAAACACAATATATTTCTCTGACCAATTGTATTAGTATAAAATAATAATATTTTCACAATATACGTAATATTTGTATTATTTATTTGATAGTCTTTTTTGCTCATCTTTATCAAGGGTGCCAATACTTTTTGGATGTGACTGTAGATACATTTGAGGAAATTACATTGAGATATTGTGTCATTTTGAGCTTACCAACTTATTCTCGATGAGGTCACACACAACCTTGTTGTTGAAATACTCAATTGGTGTCCATTTGATTCCTTCCTGAACATACTCTTCCTGGGAGAAACATAGAGAGATAGACAATGCCAATATAACTATTAAACAACATCCAAGACACCTCTTAAAGAAATGTAAAGTGTTGATGTTTGAGAGTCGTTTGTACCTGTTCAGCCTTCAGTGTCAGCTCAATAAATATCTGCTGTAGCTTCTCGTTGACAAAGTTGATGCAGAACTGCTCAAACCCATTCCTCTGTCAGAAAGCACACATCCAGGTTAAAGAGAATGTTACAACATATTATCATCATAGCTATGTCTTGTTTCGTTATCCAATCAGAGATGTACATTTCTATGTATTTAATATACGATTTACCTGGAATATCTCAAAGCCATATATGTCAAGAACTCCGATGCTGTATTCTTCATGAGGTTTCTGTATGGCTTTGTTTATGGCCTGGTATGAGGATAATTAATTAGTATGAAACGGACATGTCATTACTGTATTTATGTCTGTGTGTGTATCATTGCAGTTTATAGTAGATGTCCCTAACCTCCACCAGGTAGTCAAAGAGTCGTGTGTAGAGGGCCTTAGCCAGGGCGTCGCGGGTGTAGGTGGATTGTTCCTGGTTGAGCGTCACATCGATGGATTCAGACTTTCCACCCCACTTCGAGTCCATCTTTCTGCTGGTCAGTTTGTCTTGCAGACGCGTTGGGTCAACGCCCAGCAGATAGGCAGGGAAGGCAAGCACTGGAAGGGAGAAAATACAAACAGGACAAATCCCCAATTTTTTCCATCTTCACTGGGTGTTGCATTTATGAATGTATTATGCATGTTTGCGCTCCCATGTCTCCCACTCACAGTCAGTGCTCTCCACCTGGCCATAGTTGCCTGCCTCTATGAAGCTGATGTTTCCAAGGTGCAGGATTCCTGCTATGATCTGCAGCGCCTGAGCCTGGTGGGCCTCTGGGATCCCAATCACATGCATGGCTTCCTGTGGACAAAATACAACAGAGAGGCATTACTCCTGGTCCTAACAACACACAACAACATCTAGAACTGGGACTGAGGGAATATGATGGAAGAATACGCAATAGAACAGTATATTTTGCAAATTATAAGCCTGTATTACAAATATAAACCGGAAGTGTCAATTTGCTCCCAGTGCTTCTGTGAAAAATGTGTATTCTATGTTTTAAGCCCTAATGGAGTAAAGTACCATTGTCTCCTGAAAGTCCTTGCTGTCATTGGTTCCGTCCACTTTGTATGTCCCTGACTGGTTCAGGTAGTAGTAGTATTCTGGAGTCATGATGCCCAGGCCTTCTTTCTGCTGGAGGTTGGCTCCCTCTATTAGCTAAATACAACAGTTCAGATAAATACAACTGAAAGTTACAGCACATTAATTACACGTCAACAATTCACACCCAGTTATGAAATACTACAGAACCGTTAATGTGCTCAAGGGTGAGAAGGTCATTCACCTTCTCACCCAGTTGTATGAAAGGCCAGTAGGAGGTGATGGGTAGGTAGTGAGAGAGTCATTGTGGGTAGCTGTGTCACTGCTGGCCTAGCTCAGGGCCTGACTGACCTGGTAGTAGACGTGGAAGTTCCTCTCGTTCTCATTCTGGCTCACCACCCTCGACTTCTCAAGGAGGAAGTTGGAGATTTTACCACCGTCCGGCTCTCCTCCTCTGCTAAACTGGATCTCAAAGTACTTACCCTGTTAGATCAGAACACACACACAAAAACATATCACTCAAATTATGACTTGAGGGTTCTGGTTTGGAGTGGGGATATAGCCCTAGTATGGACTGGTGAAATGAGAGCACCAGAGCAGTGACACAAGCTCCTCAAAGTTGTGGTAAACTCCCTAAAAATATATTTGTATGTAAATAACATAAACGTGTAGGAAGGATATTTAGCCTTTAAAGGGAAAATCCACTCAAAAACTATCTTTTAGTATTTTTTTCATTAGTCCACTGCATTTTGCATCATCATGATTATGTGGCTGGTGACACTTTGCTTCTTGAAAGTCCAATATCTTAAGAACTTGACTGCTGACATGCTAAACATTTGGGACTGTATCAACAGTAGACGAATGAAAACAATACCAAAATATGTTTTTTTGAGTGGATTCTCCTTTTAAGCAACCACTGATGGGTAAATTGTTGGTTACATTACTTTACTACACAGCTCTTTGATCTCATTGTGTTGCTCTTCCATAATAGAGGCCTGCAGTACATACAGCAGAGCACCTCAGAGGCAGGAAACACCAGAGGTGACAGGCACTCAGTTACAAAGGCTGTACTGTTGCATGTGGATGTGGCTAGGAACTGACGATAACGTCTCAGGGTCTCAGCAATAGGGAAAGGGGCGAGGGTGAAAGGTGACTGTTGCATACTGCTGCTGTGGGTATATAGTCTGCAGAATGCAGATCATCTCTGGTAGAGCACAGGAAAAACAACAACCTCTGTGCACAGTGTATTGGCTATAAGAATAGATAGCACGTGACTAACAGACCCGTTAGAGTTCCAAACAAATAGTTGCAGAAATGAACAGTTTACAGTATCAGTCTTACTTTGATAGGCCACATACAGTGTCTAGAGAAGAGGAGGAGGAACAAGATGAGGAGGATAGAAAGAGAAATAAGGGGAAAAGGAAGGTTGATTGCTGTACGTGTCACTCACAAAGCGGCTGGAGTTGTTGTTGCGGACAGTCTTGGCGTTGCCGAAGGCCTCCAGCAGAGGATTAGACTGGAGGATGATGTCCTTCACATGCTGAAAGACACATAGGGAGAAACATCACGACACAGCAGTTCAGAGTCTCCTTCACAGTCATTAGTAATGGCAATGCTAATAGTTGTTTTTTTAATGGTAATGGAAATGGTAATATTGTAATACCTGCACTTTATCACCTCCTCCTGATACTTTGGAGATGTAACCCATAATGTACTTTGCAGCCACAGTCTTCCCAGCTCCACTCTCCCCGCTGGCACAACACACACATAACACACAGACATATTAGGGGCAATGTCAATCACTTTGTGTGAAGCTTTCTGGAAAGGTGAACTATGGCTACACATGAAATTCATAGTTTATTTCCGGTATAAAGGAAATTAAACACTGATTCTTTGGTTCTTTGGTTCTTCGGTAGTTTTGAGAAAAACAGTGAAAGTTGGCCTCGGTGAGCTTGGGTGGAATGACACACATGAGAAGGCCTAAGGCAATGTTTCCCAACCCTGATCCTCGAGTACCCCCAACATTTTTATTGTAACCATGGACAAGCACACCTGATTCAACTTGTCAATTAATCATCAAGCCCTCAATGAGTTGAATGAGGTGTGTTTGTCCAGGGCTACAACAAAACTGTGTACTGTTGGGGGTACTCGAGAACCAGGGTTGGGAAACACTGGCCTAAGGTGTGTAAGACGGAGGCACAGAGAAGCACTAGGCCTACATCCTGCCTGCCAGAAGAAAGAGAAAGCAGACTTTATTAATAAAATGTGAGACTGTTATAATGACACACCTGATAATAACACACTGGTTCTCCTGATCGATCATCATGTTCCTGTACATGTTATCAGTCAGGGCGTAGATGTGGGGAGGGTTTTCATATTGGGCCTTGAGAGAGAGAGAGAGAGAGAGAGAGAGAGAGAGAGAGAGAGAGAGAGAGAGAGAGAGAGAGAGAGAGAGAGAGAGAGAGAGAGAGAGAGAGAGAGAGAGAGAGAGAGAGAGAGAGAGAGAGAGAGAGAGAGAGAGAGAGAGAGAGAGAGAGAGAGAGAGAGAGAGAGAGAGAGAGAGAGAGAGAGAGAGAGAGAGAGAGAGAGAGAGAGAGAGAGAGAGATGAATCTATACTGAACAATATAAACGCAACATGTAAAGTGTTGCTCCCATGTTTCATGAGCTGAAATAAAACATTCCCAAAATTTTCCATACGCACAAAAAGCTTATTTCTCTCAAATGTTGTGCACACATTTCATTTACTAAGGTAAACAAGGAAATTAATGGGCATATAAATGCCAAAGTAATCATTGAACAATAGGATGGTTTACTCACAGCCCCTTGGTAGAGTTCAATTTCCCGGTCAGTGAAATAGGGCATCTGTTTGAATGGGTTCACTGATATCAACACAGAGCCAATATAGGTCTGCACATGACTGTTACGGAATAGGGAGGGTGTTTCTGGTGAAATCATGTAATATTGAAACAATCACATTGAAATTGTTGATGATGATGTCAACCTTTCAAAAATATAAATATAAATATTTTTTCACACAAAGTATGACGTAAGTGCCAAATGTGCAGTGTACCAAAAATAGGGAAGTTTGCTGTTGAGTCATGCTGTGAATTCAAAAGAGGAACAGTGTAGTCCTGTTATTGCATACATACATGTGTGAAGATGTGTGGTAGGGGGATGACTGAGGCAAGGATGGTATGTTTGTTATTGTGTTGTTGCTAACGTGTCAATAGGAGCATCATCTATTGTCACCTATGATACAGAATGGAAGGACCAATGCTATGGGCCAGTGATATGACCTCAGTGATCTTTAATCTGAAATCTCTCTACATGGTATAAAGTCCTTTATAAGATGTTTTGTTTGTGTGCAGGTGTACATGTTTGTGTGTGAGTGTGTGTGCATGTAAGTGTGTGCCTATATATATATACAGTGGGGAAAAAAAGTATTTAGTCAGCCACCAATTGTGCAAGTTCTCCCACTTAAAAAGATGAGAGAGGCCTGTAATTTTCATCATAGGTACACGTCAACTATGACAGACAAATTGATTAAAACAATTCCAGAAAATCACATTGTAGGATTTTTTATGAATTTATTTTCAAATTATGGTGGAAAATGAGTATTTGGTCACCTACAAACAAGCAATATTTCTGGCTCTCACAGACCTGTAACTTCTTCTTTAAGAGGCTCCTCTGTCCTCCACTCGTTACCTGTATTAATGGCACCTGTTTGAACTTGTTATCAGTATAAAAGACACCTGTCCACAACCTCAAACAGTCACACTCCAAACTCCACTATGGCCAAGACCAAAGAGCTGTCAAAGGACACCAGAAAAAAAATTTGTAGACCTGCACCAGGCTGGGAAGACTGAATCTGCAATAGGTAAGCAGCTTGGTTTGAAGAAATCAACTGTGGGAACAATTATTAGGAAATGGAAGACATACAAGACCACTGATAATCTCCCTCGATCTGGGGCTCCACGCAAGATCTCACCCCGTGGGGTCAAAATGATCACAAGAACGGTGAGCAAAAATCCCAGAACCACATGGGGGGACCTAGTGAATGACCTGCAGAGAGCTGGGACCAAAGTAACAAAGCCTACCATCAGTAACACACTACGCCGCCAGGGACTCAAATCCTGCAGTGCCAGACGTGTCCCCCTGCTTAAGCCAGTACATGTCCAGGCCCGTCTGAAGTTTGCTAGAGTGCATTTGGATGATCCAGAAGAGGATTGGGAGAATGTCATATGGTCAGATGAAACCAAAATAGAACTTTTGGGTAAAAACTCAACTCGTCGTGTTTGGAGGACAAAGAATGCTGAGTTGCATCCAAAGAACACCATACCTACTGTGAAGCATGGGGGTGGAAACATCATGCTTTGGGGCTGTTTTTCTGCAAAGGGACCAGGACGACTGATCCGTGTAAAGGAAAGAATGAATGGGGCCATGTATCGTGAGATTTTGAGTGAAAACCTCCTTCCATCAGCAAGGGCATTGAAGATGAAACGTGGCTGGGTCTTTCAGCATGACAATGATCCCAAACACACCGCCCGGGCAACGAAGGAGTGGCTTCGTAAGAAGCATTTCAAGGTCCTGGAGTGGCCTAGCCAGTCTCCAGATCTCAACCCCATAGAAAATCTTTGGAGGGAGTTGAATGTCTGTGTTGCCCAGCGACAGCCCCAAAACATCACTGCTCTAGAGGAGATCTGCATGGAGGAATGGGCCAAAATACCAGCAACAGTGTGTGAAAACCTTGTGAAGACTTACAGAAAACATTTGACCTGTGTCATTGCCAACAAAGGGTATATAACAAAGTATTGAGAAACTTTTGTTATTGACCAAATACTTATTTTCCACCATAATTTGCAAATAAATTCATTAAAAATCCTACAATGTGATTTTCTGGATTTTTTTCTCATGTTGTCTGTCATAGTTGACGTGTACCTATGATGAAAATTACAGGCCTCTCTCATCTTTTTAAGTGGGAGAACTTGCACAATTGGTGGCTGACTAAATACTTTTTTTCCCCACTGTATATCAGTCTGAGAGAGTGTGTGTCTTCACAGTGTACTTCCCCGCCTATTTTTAACTTTCACTGAAGAGACATTTAAAGAATCAAGAACAGAGACATTAGAATACCCAACTCTTCACAGGAAAAATTGTTTTTGTGAGACTTGATAAAGGAACTCTCTAACAAACAATCAAATAGGATACAAAGATGAAGTCATCCATGAATCTCTTCTTCAAATTTTCCACAATGGCATCTTCGCTGATCTTGGACAGCAGCACCATGTCGTCCACACCGCTCTGCTTGACATTCTGACTCTGCCAGTGGTACTTACTGCCCTGCAGGAGAGCACGGTTAGGGTTAGGGAATGCACATCATTTTGTTTGTATTTAAGGTAGAGTGAAAAGCAGAGGTAGATCTGTAGAGGACCTAGTTCTTACTGAATGTGAGCTACAGTACATTATGAGAGGGTATCTACAAACAGGAGAAGGCAGGGTATAGAAAACCAGAGGAAGCATAGGCCTACTGTAATTGGAAGGCACATGCACCAGCAGACAACAGAGAGAAGTTTCTCAGCAGCAGGGTCTCTCTGTGTGTAACCGTGTCATTAAGAATGTGACTAACTGTGGTTATCCGTACAGGAAGCTGAGGAAAGTTACCAGGCAACGAGCAGTAGATGAGGTGAGCGTATGCCAATTTGGCCATCGCTGTAAAGTACTGCTTCCCACTCTGATCTACCAGAGTGATAACCAGTAGTTATGGTATCTGTTGAATATAGATGCCACCGATAGGAGTCTGTGGAATGGGAGGGCGCTCAGTTTAAAGTACACCATTAGGCCATGGTTTGCCAATTAAAGGACTACCTTTACATGTTCTACTCTCAACCCATGCCCACAATATGATGATCACTTTCACCACATAGTGCAGAGAGCTTCCTGACTTCCCCATCACCACAGTTGAGGTGGCCCAGGTTGGGCCAAAGATGTTGTATTACACTGGATGATATGGTCTTAGCCTTGTCTGGGTTCCCAACACCGGTTTGATTTGATGTGTGGTGGAACCTGAAAGTAGGTTACTGTGGTCTGAGTTACAACTGTCAACCAGCTGCTGATAACTTTGGTATTCTAATACATCTGTATATTTCAACACAAGTGAGTCAGTCAACTCTCTGGCTAATCAATCAATGATATTCAATTATCAGTAAGATAACATGTACAGTAGATACTGTAAGAAAACCAGCAGTCCTCGGGGGTGGTAATTCCTCGGGGGTGGTTGTTCACACTTTTCATGTGAACAACCTGACTTATAAGGCTGTATGTTTGGCACACATATCACACCACATCCATAAATAATCTGCTCGGCTCGAAAACAGCCGGGTAAAACCACAATTCTGACTGTACTCATTTCTTTCTCGCTCTCTCACTCTCCCACATCACCAGCATGGGACTGACACCTTGTTTTTACATACATACTGATGTGACTGTTGATCAAGTGATATGTTAAAATTGGCCCACTTTCTGCTGTGTAGTGTCAGACCTGAGAGATGTTTTGTGTTACTACTGTATTCCATTCATCATCACTGTGACTACTGTCAGCCTGTTGCAGAGAAAGTCATGACAAGGCATCAAAAATCTATCTATCAATGAAAACGGTCTTAATGTAAGCTTAATGTAAATTTGGCTAATTCCGTTATCTTTGAAATTCTGTGTTTGCATATCCAGTTAGGGGCAGGATCTGTGCTTGGGAGTGTGAGGAGGAAGTATTGTGATAGAAACCACAGGCCCCTCTGTCTCTCTCTCAGGGCTGCTGCACTTCCCTTCTCATGCCTCGCCAGTGCATCTTGAGAAACCCTCTCAGCTTTGCAACACGCCACTGCTGCAGTCCCTCCTTACATCCCTGCCGTTAGAACTTACCCAGCTCCTAAGGAACAATAGACACGTCTACTGCTCCTTTTTACATTTGATTGGACAGTTTTGAATGCTTTTGATCAATGCTGCCGTACCTACATGTATTTTTTCTCTCATGTCTTGTTAAAGTCATGAGAATCCAATCTCTGATCATGAAAAAAAAAACAATTGTAGCAGCAGCAGAGAAGCACACACTCTTACCACAAAATGTGAGGTTATATATCCCTCTAGTGTAGGAACGCTCACTAAAACCTGAGTGGACACTAGCAGGGCTTGTCAGTCAAAAGAGGAAAGGACAGCATCTTCTCCATTTAAGGAGTTCCATTCTCTACTACTTAACGTCCACTACCTACTGTTCTGCAGCACTTTGTTGTATGATAGTTGTTGAAAAGAGCGATAGAACACAGCAGTTATCTATTTTCCTTTCATCATCTTGGCATATCTTTAGCATTTCACATTACTTCCATTTATTGTGTAGGAGGAAGAATGGAACAGGTTTAAATCTCAGTCAGACACCATTGAACATTACTGTGCTTCACCATCGGTTCAAAGTCAGCAGTTGCCAGGCTTCAAAGTGCCAGCTTCAGGGCAGAATGTGAGACTTCACTGTACAGCTGTGTCAAGTGACCTCAATTTAACATATAAGGCCATGTTCTTCAGTAAGTCTGTGAGAGACATGAAACCTCAGTGTATAGATGGAGAGAATAGACAAGCCCTAGTGAGGAGAGTCTGCATCAGTGTGTGAGGTGGAGGTGTGTTACCATTGTGCCAGCGGTGGGTGTGCCCCTCTCGTCCTGCGGTCCTGCCTCAGCTGTCCAAAGTCTAGAGTGTGTGTGTGTGTCGGTAATCCCACACTAGCCCTTCACAGCACGGCCATCACAGTCAGGAAGTCTCCAGCACACACAGTCAGTCAGAGAGACACCTAGAAGACTTCAACATCCACAGCGCTCAAATTTACTTCCTCAAACACAGACCTAGAGCGAAACAAGAACTGATCTCTGCCTCAGAGGACACACACTCACAGACACAATAATCCTATATCTATAGATACCACTTCTTCTACTCTGTTGCATTTTCAATTCTTCGTACAGTCAATGTTTAGACCTAATTAACAGTCAATGTAAGCTGGAAGTAGAGGCCTAAGCATTGTTCTTCACTAGTTTACTCCAATTAGGGAAAGGGTGTTGGGGTTGGAAAGTAATAAAGGGGAATATATATATTTAAAGGATATGTATGTGTATGTATGTATGTATGTATGTATGTATGTATGTATGTATGTATGTATGTATGTATGTATGTATGTATGTATGTATGTATGTGTATGTATGTATATGTAGGTATGTATGTATGTATGTATGTATGTGTGTATGTATATATGTATATGTGTGTATATATATATATATATGGAAATATGTATATGTATGTATATATGTATATAAAAAAACATGGGGGATTGGAAGTGATGCAGACAATTACATTGATGGAAGTTACAATCTATCTGCAATATTAAGCTGATCTACCCCCTAAAAAACTAAAAAACTAAAACAGGCAATGTACCTGTTATGGGATGTTATATCATACATTGTTAAAGGCAATGACAAATGTAATCTTTGATACAGACAGTATTTCATTCCATCAATCCCCACTCTATAACATACCAATACTACAACTGATGATGTGCTGAGGAGAAGTCTATGGCACTTCAGTGTTTAATCTCCCTGTCACGACTTCCTCCGAAGCTGCCTCCCCTCCTTGTTCGGGCAGGCTTCGGCGTTCGTCGTCACCGGCTTACTAGCCACTGCCGCTCCATATATCATCATTCCATTTGTCTTGTCTTGTCAATTACACACACCTGGTTCATATTCCCCTCATTAGTACGTGTTTAAGTGTTCCCTCTGCCCCCCTTGTCCTTGTGGGTGGTTGTTCATTGTGAGGATTAGTAGCTCGGTTGAGCTCAGTATTTTGTATTGCTGGGGTATTTTCCCCATGTGTATGTTTGTTCCAGTGCGCCTGTTTTGCGCACTGGACTGGTTACGCTGGATTACGGAATAAACTCTGTATACTGTGATTTACCCTCCTGCGCCTGACTCCTTCAAATCACGCATCACACTCCCATCTCTCTCTACATGATGCTTCAGTTGTTCACTCAGTACTCCACCCAGAGTCTCTCATCTTTAACATCTGAAAGGCTGGCAGTGAATGGTGCTACACCCATAATGAACTACATTTTCATTTTACATTTTTGTAATTTAGCAGATCCTCTTATCCAAAGCGACTTACAGTAGTGAGTGCATACATTTTCGTTCTGGTCCCCCGTGGAAATCGAACCCACAACACTGGCGTTGCAAGCACCATGCTCTACCAACTGAGCCACACAGGGTCAAGGCTTTTCACTGACAAATAGAGAGATTCACAGAGTGACACTGTAAGTGCAGTGGGCCTCGGATCAGGACAGTGTAATCATGAGTATAGAGCATACTGCTGAGAGATGTGGGGCTCCTAGTCTTCAATAGCCTCCTCAGTCTGGGTGAGCTCCAGCATACCCAGGAAGGCCCCAAGTTCTGCTCTGCTCTACTATGATGCAGGGCCTGAAACGTAACATGACACACAGTGGTGAGGATGACTCACACCATGCCTCAGGAACCATCAGCAGATTTTCCCTGAACAGGAAGAGCCTGAAGAAGACATCACAACACAACCTCACTGTGGAAACACTAGCTACAAGTCTTGCCCCATTACTTTCCATGGCATCTATGAGATACAAAAGCTGAAGAACATAGGCCCATCCAGGTATTTTCCCAGTGTGACACTCTGGCTCTATGGACTTTGAATATTGAGCCAGGGTTGTTCATTTTCATGTGTTTGGGTGTATTTCATTTGGTGGTGTTGGGGATGGGTGAGTTTCATTTTGTTTGTGTTGTGGTGATTGGTCTATGACTCCCAATCGGAGGTAACGAGTGTCAGCTGTCGGCTCGTTATCTCTGATTGGGAGCCATATATATTCTGTGTGTTTTCTCCTTTGTTTTGTGGGTTATTGTTTCTGTTAGTCTGTATCAGTATTTGAACTTCACGTATCGTCATTTGTTGTTTTCTTCGTGGTTGCTTTAATTAATAAAGTCATCATGTTCACTCGCAACGCTGCGCATTGGTCCGCTCCTTCAGACGATCCTGACACCCAGGTGCTGGAGTTGTAGGCAAACTCATGGAAAACAGAAAGGAAAACGCCACACACTGCTGCTCATGCTGCCAGGTGATTTTATTTATAACAACGTTTCAACCCTTAGGTCTTCATCAGTTATCCATATCCCAGGGGGGTGGAAGGTCCTGTATATAGGGGCAGTACTCAGCATCACTTCCTGAAACGGGAGGTAAAAAATATATAACATAGGTTCACAATATTGACATTCAATTTATAAAAATATATGATCATACACAAGGAATGTGATCAATATTTACAGTAATAATATACAGTGTATTCGGAAAGTATTCAGATCCTTTCCCCTTTTCCACATTTTGTTACGTTACAGCCTTATTCTAAAATGGATAAAAAATTTATTTTTCCTCATCAATGTACACACAACACCCCATAATGACAAAGTGAAAACAGGTTTTTAGACATTTTTGCAAATGTATTAAAAATAAAAAACAGAAATACCTTATTTACATAAGTATTCAGACCTTTTGATATGAGACTCGAAATTGAGCTCAGGTGCATCCTGTTTCCATTGATAATCATTGAGATGTTTCTACAACTTGATTGGAGTCCACCTGTGGTAAATGCAATTAATTGGACATGATTTGGAAAGGCACACAACTGTCTATATAAGGTCCCACAGTTGACAGTGAATGTCAGAGCAAAAACCAAGCCATGAGGTCGAAGGAATTTTCCGTAGAGCTCCGAGACAGGATTGTGTCAAGGCACAGATCTGGGGAAGGGTACCAAAAAATGCATGCAGCATTATAGGTCCCCAAGAACACAGTGGCCTCCATCATTCTTAAATGGAAGAAGTTTGGAACCACCAAAACTCTTCCGAGAGCTGGCTGCCCGGCCAAACTGAGCAATCGGGGGAGAAGGGCCTTGGTCAGGGAGGTGACCAAGAACCTGATGGTCACTCTGACAGAGCTGCAGAGTTCCTCTGTGGAGATGGGAGAACCTTCCAGAAGGACAACCATCTCTGCAGCAATCCACCAATCAGGCCTTTATGGTAGAGTGGCCAGACAGAAGCCACTCCTCAGTAAAAGGCACATGACAGCCAGCTTGGAATTTGCCAAAATGCACCTAAAGGACTCTCAGACCATGAGAAACAAGATTCTCTGGTCTGATAAAACCAAGACTGAACTCTTTGGCCTGAATGCCAAGCGTCACGTCTGGAGGAAACCTGGCACCATCCCTATGGTGAAGCATGGTGGTGGCAGCATCATGCTGTGGGGATGTTTTTCAGCGGCAGGGACTGGGAGTCAGGATCGAGGGAAATATGAATGGAGCAAAGTACAGAGAGATCCTTGATCTCTGGAGAGACCTGAAAATACAGTGGGGAAAAAAAGTATTTAGTCAGCCACCAATTGTGCAAGTTCTCCCACTTAAAAAGATGAGAGAGGCCTGTAATTTTCATCATAGGTACACGTCAACTATGACAGACAAAATGAGAAAAACAAATCATGAAAATCACATTGTAGGATTTTTAATGAATTTATTTGCAAATTATGGTGGAAAATAAGTATTTGGTCAATAACAAAAGTTTCTCAATACATTGTTATATACCCTTTGTTGGCAATGACACAGGTCAAACGTTTTCTGTAAGTCTTCACAAGGTTTTCACACACTGTTGCTGGTATTTTGGCCCATTCCTCCATGCAGATCTCCTCTAGAGCAGTGATGTTTTGGGGCTGTCGCTGGGCAACACGGACTTTCAACTCCCTCCAAAGATTTTCTATGGGGTTGAGATCTGGAGACTGGCTAGGCCACTCCAGGACCTTGAAATGCTTCTTACGAAGCCACTCCTTCGTTGCCCGGGCGGTGTGTTTGGGATCATTGTCATGCTGAAAGACCCAGCCATGTTTCATCTTCAATGCCCTTGCTGATGGAAGGAGGTTTTCACTCAAAATCTCACGATACATGGCCCCATTAATTCTTTCCTTTACACGGATCAGTCGTCCTGGTCCCTTTGCAGAAAAACAGCCCCAAAGCATGATGTTTCCACCCCCATGCTTCACAGTAGGTATGGTGTTCTTTGGATGCAACTCAGCATTCTTTGTCCTCCAAACACGACGAGTTGAGTTTTTACCAAAAAGTTCTATTTTGGTTTCATCTGACCATATGACATTCTCCCAATCCTCTTCTGGATCATCCAAATGCACTCTAACAAACTTCAGACGGGCCTGGACATGTACTGGCTTAAGCAGGGGGACACGTCTGGCACTGCAGGATTTGAGTCCCTGGCGGCGTAGTGTGTTACTGACGGTAGGCTTTGTTACTTTGGTCCCAGCTCTCTGCAGGTCATTCACTAGGTCCCCCCGTGTGGTTCTGGGATTTTTGCTCACCGTTCTTGTGATCATTTTGACCCCACGGGGTGAGATCTTGCGTGGAGCCCCAGATCGAGGGAGATTATCAGTGGTCTTGTATGTCTTCCATTTCCTAATAATTGCTCCCACAGTTGATTTCTTCAAACCAAGCTGCTTACCTATTGCAGATTTAGTCTTCCCAGCCTGGTGCAGGTCTACAATTTTGTTTCTGGTGTCCTTTGACAGCTCTTTGGTCTTGGCCATAGTGGAGTTTGGAGTGTGATTGTTTGAGGTTGTGGACAGGTGTCTTTTATACTGATAACAAGTTCAAACAGGTGCCATTAATACAGGTAACGAGTGGAGGACAGAGGAGCCTCTTAAAGAAGAAGTTACAGGTCTGTGAGAGCCAGAAATCTTGCTTGTTTGTAGGTGACCAAATACTTATTTTCCACCATAATTTGCAAATAAATTCATTAAAAATCCTACAATGTGATTTTCTGGATTTTTTTTTCTCAATTTGTATGTCATAGTTGACGTGTACCTATGATGAAAATTACAGGCCTCTCTCATCTTTTTAAGTGGGAGAACTTGCACAATTGGTGGCTGACTAAATACTTTTTTTCCCCACTGTAGCTGTGCAGCAACGCTCCCCATCCAACCTGACAGAGCTTGAGAGGATCTGCAGAGAAGAATGGGAGAAACTCCTCAAATACAGGTGTGCCAAGCTTGTAGTGTCATACCCAAGAAGACTCGGGGCTGTAATCGCTGCCAAAAGTGCTTCAACAAAGTACTGAGTAAAGGGTCTGAATACTTATGTAAATGTAATATTTTTTTTTATTATTATTTTATTTGCTAGAATAAGACTGTAACGTAAAACAAAATGTGGAAAAAGTCAAGGGGTCTGAATACTTTCCGAATGCACTGTATATACAATATTCAATTAGGATAAAAAACACTATAATTTGGACATTTTGAAACTATAAAAACGGTTTCAAGTCAAACTCCTCATTAAGGCCAAGAGGAGACAGTGTGTTGAGCCTGTGGATCCAGAAAGATTCCCTTTGAAGAAGTTTCCTCTCAATGTCCCCTCCCCTGCGTGACATCTTGACCATTTCTATTCCAATGTATCTCAGAGAACTAATAGGATGTCCAGAACAGCAACCAGATTTTTTGTCTCGCCTGTCCTTATATTGCTGCAGTGCTCACTGATCCGGGTCTTAAGGCTTCTACGGGTTTTCCCTATGTAAGACAGACCACAAGGATATTTCAACATGTAAACAACATTGGTGGACATGCAGGCCTTTGATCTTAAATCTTTGTCCTGTGCGGGGGTGGGTAAATGAATCACATTTGTACGTGAAACTGCATTGAGCACATTGACCACATTTGTAATTACCCTCCGGAACCTTGTCCAAGAAAGTTTCCCTTTTCTCTGGTGGATAATCCGAGGGGTGATAATACGATTTAACCACAATGTCAGATGGGTTTCAATTGTGGGTCAGTATCAATAATGTACCAGTGCTTCCTGATAATGTCCTTAAATGCCTTCCCCAATGGTGAGTATTGGGTGAAGCATGAGGGGACATGTTCTGCTTTTTCTTTAACTTTTGGTTGAAGGCTTTCCAACTGTGTTAGCCCTTCAAAACGATCATTGGCATGTTTTACCCAATTGTCTTTGTACCCCCTTTCCTTAAACCTTTGTGTGAGGTTCGTGGTCTTTTTCTGGTAAGAAGCATCAGAGCTGCATATTCTTCTGATGCGACTGAATTGACTTATAGGGAGACTTTTAATAAGTGGACGTGGATTTAGCTGTCACCTCTAAGGAGGGTGTTCCTGTCTGTAGGTTTCATTTTTTTACATTTTAGTCATTTAGCGACTTACAGTTAGTGAATACATATATATATATTTTTTATACTGGCCCCCCATGGGAATCGAACCCACAACCCTGGCGTTGCAAACACCATGCTCTATCAACTGAGCTACATCCCTGCCGGCCATTCCCTCCCCTACCCTGGACGACGCTGGGCCAATTGTGCGCCGCCCATGAGTCTCCCGGTCGCGGCCGGCTGCGACAGAGCCTGGATTCGAACCAGGATCTCTAGTGGCACAGTTAGCACTGCGATGCAGTGCCTTAGACCACTGCGCCACTCAGGAGGTTTCCTATAGAGATCTGTAGAGAGGGAGGTTTTGTCCTTAATAACCATCACATCAAGAACTGATTTGTGATAGGTCATAGTTAATGGTGAAACGAAGGTGCTTATTCATATAGTTTAGATAGGCATGGAATTCCAAGAGTTCTTCCTGGGTCCCTGTATAGATCACGAAAATGTCATCCAAATATCTCTGAATTAGGAGAATATTGGAGAGAAAGGGTTTAAGGTCTGGATTCAGCATAACCTGTTTTTCAAACATTCCTAGATATAGGTTTGTGTAACCGGTGTGACATGGCTAGCTAGTTAGCGGTGCGCGCTAGTAGTGTTTCAATCGGTGACGTCACTCGCTCTGAGACCTTGAAGTAGTTGTATCCCTTGCTCTGCAAGGGCTGTGGCTTTTGTGGAGCGACGGGTAATGGTGCTTCAAGGGTGACTGTTGTCGATGTGTGCAGAGGGTTCCTGGTTCAAGCCCAGGTTGGGGCGAGGAGAGGGACGGAAGCAACACTGTGCATTAGCCTAATTAGGAGCAATAGTGCTCCCCATCGCTGTCCCTTTGGTCTGGAAGAAAAAGTATCCTCTGAAGAGAAAATAGTTGAGGTTAGTACCAGTTCAGCCAAGTCCACAATACAACTTGTGCTGGGAAGAGCATTAGGGGGACGTTCACTGAGGGAGAACTTGAGGGCCTCTAGGCCGCCCTGATGGGGGATGTTAGTATATAGACTGGCAACATCAAACATACACAGAATAGAATTTTCATGGATATGGTCCACAGATTTCAAAAGATTCATAAAATCAATAGAGTCTCTGGTATACGTGGGGAGAGAGATCGCCCAGGGTTTCACAAAATGAGATCCATTACTACTCACAATGGGCTTGCCTGGTCTAGGTGGCTTCATGCTCTTGTGAATTTTGGGGAGAGCGTATATGACAGGTTTGGTTGGGCAGTCAACTTTCATATACTCATATTCTGTCTTTGTAATTTCCCCTTCATTCAAAAATTTTGACAATTTATCATGGATCAGAGACTTGAATTGATTAGTAGGGTCCTTAGGGAGTCCTTTGTAAAATTCATCTTCACTAAGTTGTCTCAGAATTGTCTTTACATAGTCTGCAGCATTTTGTATCACTATTGCACCTCCTTTGTCAGCAGGTTTTATAATGATACTGGAGTCATTTTTGAGTTCAATAAGAGATTATTTCTCTGCTTTGCACATATTGTGGAATACCTTGTATTCTTGTTTCTTAGCCAGGAGATGATGTACATCTTTCTCAACTAGGCAGCAATATGTTTCAAGAGAGGGATTTCTTTTGGGTGGTAAAAATGTGCTTTTCCTCTTAGAATGTGTCTTTTCCCTTGTCATGTCCTCAGGGTGAGAGTCAAGTTCATTGACATTCAGGTTATCAATGGGGAAAACATTAGCACTATGTCCTGTCTGGTTACTAATATCGTTCAATAGATTAACATTGGCAGGTGTATAGGGAGCAAACCCATTACCAACAAACTCAGTCAATATCCAACTGCGGAAACATTTTTGAAAGTCTATAACTGTATCAAAGTCATTGGCCTGTGATGTTGGGACAAATGATAGTCCCTTACCTAGGGCAGATGAACATGTATCAGATATAGACCTGTTGGACAAGTTAATTACCGTGTCTTGCTCCGTGTATGTGGGGGGGACTTCGGGTGTTGCCGTGTTCCTACGTTGTCCTCTCCTGCATTTCTTGCGGGGAAGCAGGGTGGACGGTGGTCGTGATGACGGCCTATTCGATTCCCCAAAAAAGAACACGCTGATTGGTCGCTGGTCACTGGAGTCAGATGTGAAGGAGTTGGTTGATCACCACATCAGTGGCCCTCTATGATTACGGCTGGGCTGGCGTTTACCCTTCCATCTTGCTCGTGGGGGAGTGCCAATTAGCTGTCTCCGGCCATCCCTCCAGAAATATACCTTCTGCTCCTTGTAGTCCGCAGTACCACACTCAAACTTTTTCCACTTGCTTGTCTTTGTCTCCTCCGCAAGTTTATCACAAATGTTTTCCACATTGGTCAGAATGTTCTCTCTTTTGTCCTTATCGGTGATCTTGCTTTCCAGATCAACATTTAGCTGTGTCACTTGATCTCTTGTCGTGCACAATTGTTCTGTCACTTCTTGTATGGTCAGCGCCATTAAATCAAAACAAGCATTTATTAAGAATCTATGAGATACAGAAATAGATGGATGATCATTTAATGTCGGGTTTTAAAACGGACAAATCTGTGGAGAGAGGGTAAAGCACACAATTCTCGATGCATTTATTTATTCACTGTAATATGTTCATTTCAAAGGTTGTAGATGGGGAACGGGGGTATGTTTTTATAGTAATGAAAAAACAGTACATATCTGTAACAATTAGCATGTGAAAACAACAAACAAACAATATTATCCCTCTTATTTGATAAAACGGTTTGTCTCTGAGGTCACACCATGACCATAGACACAGATGGTTCAAAATAGAAAGTGAAATGTACTTAGCTTACATATTCAGACAGTCAAATAGGACACTTTGTTTCATTAAAACAGTTCTGTTATGTTTTTGATCAGATAGTGTAGTAAAGCATCAGTCAGTGTGCTGACACCCAGTTGTATCAGAAACGGAATGTTTGTTAACAGATATGGGTCCCACACCCAGTTACTAAAGGTGTGGAAATAAATGTTTTAACTTCTACTCCTCTTCTCACAAACTGATATAGCACAACTGTGACACCAACCTCAAACAAAACCATTTTGGTAACACTTTACGTGACACCCAGCATCATTACACCATAGCCTACGTGTCAACAGTATGCTTATGTTACATTAAAGAAATTGACCATATGAAATTATCATTGTAATTGCGCACACATTGATGCACCTACCCTAATGCTCTGTTTCTGATGACTGGGATGAATGCAGGAGCAGATTCAGGAGCAGGACAAGGCACCCTGTTCTTAACTGATGACTGACATAAGTACATGTACGTGATAGGCCTATCTGGCTTATATGATTATGATGGTCATAATGCTTCTTGACAGTGTCATAAAGTCTATTTTCTTAGTCCAAGTAAAGTGACACAGGATGGTCATAATGCTTTTTGACAGTGTCATAAAGTGTATTTTCTTAGTCCAAGTAAAGTGACACAGGATGGTCATAATGCTTCATGACAGTGTCATAAATTGTATTTTCTACAAGTGATTTAAAATATGATGAAAAAAACATGACTAAAGAATTCATTACAACAACAACGGATGTAAGACATTTTATCATTTTGAATAAATGTGGGTTTTGACACTCTTATGTAGGTGTCATAACCAGCCATAAAATAACGCAATATATGTCACAACAGGTGTAAATATATGGGTCATGACAGTGTTATGACCATATTATGACAGGTTATGACAAGTTATGTCAGCTGTTATGACATTATGACATGGTTATGACCGTGTCATAACGTGTTATGACACTGGGTGTCAAGTAAAGTGTTACCACCATGGTATATTCAACAGAACGACATCCAACAACGACAAAAATTAGCTAAGAAATAGCACCATTCAAAAGCACCATCAGGAGAGTAATAGCAACCTAGTTACTCCAATAGAAATCAGTTCCTTCATCGAGAGCTGACATTATTGCAAGGTTGCTGGTTCTGAGTGTGAGCCCAGTAGATGGATGGATGTGTAAGAAGGCTGTTACTGTACATGTAGCATATTAGAGACTGAAGTAAACTAGTTGACCATTAAAGGCATAGTAGGAAGGCCATGCTATCAGAGAGAATGATCACTCACGGCCAGGGGGCATGGGAGGGTCTATGTTCCGATGTAATCAGAGGTTGGAGGTGGTTGACTCAGTGATGGACACTGTGTTTCCACTCACTGTATACGTGACTAATACAGAGTACCATGTAGCATTGTTCACATTGACAAGGCTACGGTAGGTTTGCTTGTATCTAAACGTGTACAGTAAGTGCTACAGTATGAGAGAAGTGCTGAGGTTTGCTGCTAGACGTGAACTGAACCGACCATTGACCAGACCTCGCTGGGTCCCATAAAAGGGCAAGACAGTGGCGAGTAAACGGTTATGAACATGGACCGGACCGTGGACCGAGAGTGTTAAGTAGAGTCCTCAAGACAAGTCACAAATAATTAACATACAGTATTCTTATGACTAGTCAGACTTTGTGCAAATCAAACCCTTTTCAAAAAGATTTTGTTCTGAGACAAAGCATTGACAAGATAACTTAGAAGACCAAGTGAGTTGGCAACAGCCACCACATAACAAACATTACATTACATTGGGTAAGTGATAGTAAAGTATCAGGACAGTTTCAGTTGTACAGTGTAGATTTAGTGTACACATAGAACAATGTCTGTAAATATACAAGTAAAGGTCTGTATGGACATAGAGGCTCAGGGTAAGACTGGGCCACTTAATAAACAACGGAGAAACGTAACTAAGCTGAACAGAGTACTTTGGCCAGTCCTCTGGCCAGCATGGCAATAGTAGTAGCACCACCAAACCCTTTAAGGATATACACTACATGACTAAAAGTATGTGGACACCTGCTCATCGAACATCTCATTCCAAAATCATGGGCATTAATATGGAGTTGGTCCCCCCTTTGCTGCTATAACAGCCTCCACTCTTCTGGGAAGGCTTTCCACTAGATGTTGGAACATTGCGGCGGGGACTTGCTTCCATTCAGCCACAAGAGCATTGGTGAGGTCGGGCACTGACGTTGGGCGATTAGGCCTGGCTCGCAGTCGGCATTCCAATTCATCCCAAAGGTGTTCGATGGGGTTGAGGTCAGGGCTCTGTGAAGGCCAGTCAAGTTCTTCCACACCGATCTCGACAAACCATTTCTGTATGGACCTCGCTTTGTGCACAGGGGCATTGTCATGCTGAAACAGGAAAAGGCCTTCCACAAACTGTTGCCACAAAGTTGGAAGCACAGAATTGTCTAGAATGTCATTGTATGCTGTAGCGTTAAGACTTCCCTTCACTGGAACTAAGGGGCCTAGCCCGAACCATTAAAAACAGCCCCAGACCATTATTCCTCCTCCACCAAACTTTACAGTTGGCACTATGCATTGGGGTGTTCTCCTGGCATCCGCCCAACCCAGATTCGTCCGTCGGACTGCCAGATAGTGAAGTGTGATTCATCACTCCAGAGAACCTGTTTCCACTGCTCCAGAGTCCAATGGCGGGAGCTTTACACCACGCCAGCCGATGCTTGGCATTGCGCATGGTGATCTTAGGCTTGTGTGCGGCTGCTCGGCCATGGAAAACCATTTAATGAAGCTCTAGATGAACAGTTATTGTGCTGACGTTGCTTCCAGAGGCAGTTTGGAGCTTGGTAGTGAGCGTTGCAACCGAGGAAGGACGACTATTACGCGCAACGCGCTTCAGCACTCGGCAGTACCGTTCTGTGAGCTTGTGTGGACTACCACTTTGCGGCTGAGCCGTTGTTGCTCCTAGACGTTTCCACTTCACAATAACAGCACTTACAGTTGACCGTGGCAGCTCTAGCAGGGCAGAAATTTGACGAACTGACCTGTTGGAAAGGATGCCACGTTGAAAGTCACTGAGCTTTTCAGTAAGGCCATTCTACTGCCAATGTTTGTCTATGGAGATTGCATGGCTGTGTGCTCGATTTTATACACATGTCAGCAACGGGTGTGGCTGAAATAGCCGAATCCACTAAATTGAAGGGGTGTCCACATACTTTTGTATATATAGTGTAGGTACATCGAGACAGAGAGGTATCCCAGCAGCTCATTTGACCTTCACAGCAGTGCCCCCACAGCTGGTATAAGTTAGGGCACTTTCAGAGTGGGGGATAAAAGCACAGTTCTCTCTCTCTTTCTCTCTCACCCTCCCGCCGTCTACCTCTCCCTCCTCTGATGTCAGGCAGGCTGCTCTGTGGTGCGTTGGCTGGGCAGTCCCTCCCCCCTGTGGAATGTGCAGCTCAGTGGGTCTGGTCTAGGCCCGCTGGGGGTGGCTCCTGGTCTGGTCTGGGCCCGCTGGGGGTGCCTTCTGGTCTGGCTCTCGGTCTGGTTCAGGGGTCAGTGTCCTTGGCAGGTCTTACAGCACATCTGTCTGAAGTAGGGGCGGCTGCAGAACTTAAACCTGAGCACCAGGGGGCAGTACGCCACCGTGTTCACATCTTTGCACTCTGGAAGGGAAAAATATATAAAAGGCGAGTTATATAATAATATAATAATATGCCATTTAGCAGACGCTTTTATCCAAAGCGACTTACAGTCATGCGTGCATACATTTTTTTTTTTTTTTTGTGTTAAAATAATGAACAACTTAGATGGATATTTAGCTGGCAGGAGAATACAGTGAGAAGGTAATTAATGGAGAGTTGAACTTTGACCTTCAGGGTCACCCTCTGGGATGTCCATGGGTAGGCTGCTGAGGTCACATTTGCTCTTGCACTGTTGCATGGCTGCCGGGCGCTGGAGGTCTGGACACTCATTGGACGGCTGGCCGGTTTGTGCGAGACACTGCACAGAGCGCATCTCCTGACCCAGACCACACTTGGCTGAGCACTGACACAGAACAGAGAGAGAGAGAGGTCACAAAACTAGGAGTACACACAAATAAGCCATAGTAAAGATGGATAATAGAGCACTTTACAAATCTGAACAGGAACAATTAACAGGAACGATTAACACTGTCTAGTATTTCCTCATCATTTCACTAGATCAATCAAGAGGACCTAGGAGGTCCAGTTGAATGAGAGCAGAGTTTAATACATAGCAGAGCCCATGTTAGTCCCAGCAAGCCCCCCAGCCTTACCTCTCCCCAGGGCCCTGTGACCCACATGGGGGGTGGACAGCGCTGCAGGTTACAGCGCACCCTGGTGGTGGGACGCCCATGCTTGGGACACTGGGACTCTGGCAGTGTGTCTCCACTCTCCCCACGCTTACACAGAAGGACACGGTGCCTGAACCCTGGACCACAGCTGGGATTACACTGGGGGAGAGACAGACAGACAGACAGACAGACAGACAGACAGACAGACAGACAGACAGACAGACAGACAGACAGACAGAGAGAGAGCGAGAGACACAGACAGACAGACAGACAGACAGACAGACAGACAGACAGACAGACAGACAGACAGACAGACAGACAGACAGACAGACAGACAGACAGACAGATAGATGGGGGAGAGGTTATTCAAGTCTGAGAGCGCCAACCTCTACAGCCTCAGAGCACACCAGAGACCAGTACATAATCCAACCAGCAGGTGGCATTGATTACACACAGAAATGTTGCATAGGTACAGAAAGTGTTGAGGTAAGCAACTTCTCTCTTTTTTCTTAAAATCTCTAGATTCCACTTCTTAGATTAAATTAAAAATAGTTGGGTTAGCTTATGGGGGTATTTTGGGTGTACCTCTGACCAGTCCAGGGCCAGCCACTCTGGGGGGCAGGTATGGTTGCTGCAGGGCTCGGTGAGGGGTGGTCGTTGGGGGGTACAGGCCCCATCGTCCTGCACCTTCTCCTCTGTAGGAGAGATCTTCCTCTTACACAGCACCTCTCTGGTCCTCAGGCCCCCGTTACAGCTGCGACTGCACTCAGACCACTCCCCAGACCACCAGCTGGGGGAGACAGACACACGGACAGACCTTAGTCCAGCAGGATGTCATTCTCTCCCAATACCACACACATGTGCATACACACATACACACATGATAGGTAAACACTTATACTGCATATATAGGTTCATTACGTAACCCGGTAAGAATTTTGCAAGTTCTAGCAACAGCCCTAGCAACGGAAGCTAGATATCATCGAATCCCATTGTGACGTGGGGGAGGGAACACTTTTTGGCAGGGGGACACTATTTGGCATGACAGGACCATTCAGAGAAGCTTCACACAGGCAGTGGGACAGATACATTGACACTCACCTTGGGGAGCATGGCTCAGAGTTGCAGGCTCGCTTCTTGTCTTTGGGTTTGCTCCTCTTGTCACAGAAGTGGTTATAGACCACGGTGTGATCAGTCTGCTTCTTACACACTACCTGCTGGGTCTGACCACCTGACAGAGAGAGGGAGGATAGAACACTTTTAGAACCATCACAGTGTATAACTTGTACAAGCCCTCCTCCATTCACTAGTTTTCCTGACATAAGGTCAAGTAAATTTGCTTTTAAGCAAAGTAAATGAGTTCTTATCAGGCTAGTTGCTTTGGATCATTATCCCGCGATAGAAAGAAAGCAAAGTTGGCCTCAGACCCGCACGAACGCCTGCAGTTTAACCAACCCCACAGTACCTCTGTTCATGAACATTCCACTCCCATGTTTCCCCAGAGTCAGTGTTACGTCAGGAAAACTCTGAAGCCACCATGTACCAGTGTGTGTGTAATGTGTATGTGTGAGAGAGGGAATATGAGAAAGCCTATGAGAAAGTGAGGGGTATGCACTGTGCACGTATGTGCAAAAATCAGAAACCTTTTGTCCATAAATGATGCAGAAAAGCTAATCCATGCTTTTGTCACTTTCTAGATTAGACTACTGCAATGCTCTTCTCTCCGTCCACCCGGATAAAGCACTAAATAAACTTCAGTTAGTGCTAAACACGGCTGCTAGAATCTTGACTAGAACCCCAACATTTTATCATATTACTCCAGTGCTAGCCTCTCTACACTGGCTTCCTGTTAAGGCTAGGGCTGATTTCAAGGTTTTACTGCTAACCTACAAAGCATTATATGGGCTTGCTCCTACCTATCTCTCCGATTTGGTCCTGCCGTACATACCTACACATATGCTACAGTCACAAGACTCAGGCCTCCTTATTGTCCCTTTCTAAGCAAACAGCTGGAGTCAGGGCTTTCTCCTATAGAGCTCAATTTTTATGGAATGGTCTGCTTATCCATGTGATAGATGCAGACTGGGTCTTGACCTTTAAGTCTTTACTGAAGACTCATCTCTTCAGTAGGTTCTATGATTGAGTGTAGTCTTGCCAAGGGGTGCGAAGGTGAACGAAAGGTACTGGAGCGACAAACTGCCCTTGCTGTCTCTGCCTGGCCGGTTCCAGTCTCTCCATTGGGATTTTCTGCCTCTGACCCTATTACGGGGGCTGAGTCACTGGCTTACTGGTGCTTTCCATGCCGTCCCTAGGAGGGGTACGTCACTTGAGTGGGTTGAGTCACTGACGTGATCTTCCTGTCCGGTTTGTCGCCCCCTCGGGCTCGTGCAGTGGAGGAGATCTTCGTGGGCTATACTCAGCCTTGTCTCAGGATAGTAGGTTGGTGGTCTGTTGATATCACTCTGGTGGTGTGGGGACTGTGCTTTGGCAAAGTGGGTGGGGTTATATCCTGCCTTGTTGGCCCTGTCCGGGGGTATCGTCAGACGGGGCCACAGTGTCTCCTGACCCCCCCTGTCTCAGCCTCCAGTATCTATGCTGCAATAGTCTATGTGCCGGGGGGCTAGGTGGTCAGTCTGTTATATCTGGTGTTATTCTCCTGTCTTATCTGGTGTCCTATGTGAATTTAAGTATGCTCCCTCTAATTCTCTCTCCCTCTCCCTCTCTCCCTCCACTCCCGGAGGACCATGCCTCAGGACTACCTGGCCTGATGACTCCTTGCTGTACCCAGTCCACCTGGTCGTGCTGCTGCTCCAGTTTCAACTCTTCTGCCTGCGGATATGGAGTCCTGACCTGTTCAACGGACGTGCTACCTTGTCCCAGACCTGCTGTTTTCAACTCTCTCTCTCTACCGCACCTGCTATTTCAACCTCTAAATGCCCGGCTATGAAAAGCCAAGTGACATTTACTCCTGATGTACTGACCTGTTGCAACCTCTACAACCACTGTGATTATTATTTGACCCTGCTGGTCATCTATGAATGTTTGAACATCTTCGAGAAAAATCTGGCCTTAATGGCCATGTACTGTTATAATCTCCACTCGGCACAGCTAGAAGGGGACTGGCCACCCCTCAGAGCCTGGTTCCTCTCTAGGTTTCTGCCTTTCTAGTGAGTTTTTCCTCGCCACCATGCTTCTACATCTGCATTGCTTGCTGTTTGGGGTTTTAGGCTGGGTTTCTGTATAGCACTGTGACATCTGCTGATGTAAAAAGGGCTTTATAAATACATTCGATTGATTGATTGATGTGCCTGAGTGAGTGTCACGACTTCCTCCGAAGCTGCCTCCTCTCCTGGTTCGGGCAGGCTTCGGCGTTCGTCGTCACCGGCCTTCTAGCCACTGCCGCTTCTCATCTCATCATTCCATTTGTTTTGTCTTGTCAATTACACACACCTGGTTCATATTCCCCTCATTAGTACGTGTATAAGTGTTCCCTCTGCCCCCTTGTCCTTGTGGGTGATTGTTTAGTGTGAGGAGAGTGTAGCTCGGTTGAGCTCTGTATATTTTGTATTGCCGGGGTATATTTTCCCTGTGTGCCTGTTTGGTTCCAGTGTGCCTGTTTTGCGCACTGGACTGTTTGACGCAATTCTGCGTAACTCTGTATTCCGGAATAAACTCTGTATTCTGTGATTTACCCTCCTGCGCCTGACTCCTTCAAATCACCCATCACAGAATCACACACCCGATATGGAGTCAGCAGGAGAGGAGCGCATGCCTGGAGTCGTGGCACAGGTCCAGGAGCATTCGACGATGCTAGCCAAATTGGGAGAAGCGATGGATCGGGTTCTCCAGGTCGTCCAACACCTGGAGAGGAGAGGACCCGATCTGTCGGGACCAGCTGGGCGACCGGATCCCGCAACCCACACCCCAGCACCCAGAGGGATCCATATATCGACGGGACAGCTGCTCTCTGCTAGGGATTCCTCCTCCAACTGGAGCTCTACTATTCCAGCATCAGCCCGGCCCCATCGGAGCGGGAGAAGGTGTCCGCCCTCGTCTCCTGCCTCTCGGGGAAAGCCCTGGAGTGGGCCAACGCGATCTGGAATGAAGGAGGAGCCGCGTTAGACAACTACGGGGAGTTCGCTCGCCTCTTTCGGACTGTCTTCGATCACCCGCCCGAGAGTCGAGAGGCGTGCGAGCGTCTTGTTCACCTGAGGCAGGGGACGAGGACCGCGCAGGACTTCGCCCTGGAGTTCCGGATTCTAGCAGCTGGGTCCGGGTGGAATGAGCGGGCCCTCATCGACCACTTCCGGTGCCATCTGCGGGAGGACGTCCAAAGGGAGCTAGCCTGCCGGGACACCATGTTGTCCTTCACTCAACTGGTGGACATGGCCATCCGGTTGGACAACCTGCTGGCGGCCAGAGGACGTCCTGGACGGGTCCTGCCCGTTCCAACCCTGCCCGACTCGGATCACGAGCTGATGGAACTGGGTGGAGCGGCGATCCGGGAGAGCGGAGGACGACAGCGCCAGTGTCACTCTGGTGGCACGAGAGGACATTTCACTGCACAATGTCGTCAGCGTTCTTTTGCGTCTGGAGGCGGCAGGCAGAGCACTCTCGCGTAACCCCAGGTATCGAACACCCACACTCGTTCAGAGCCCTCTGCTGCGCACTGTACCCTACCCATCCACTTTCCTGATTACACTTTAGTTCCCCAGTGTAAGGCGCTGGTCGATTCAGGCGCAGCTGGGAACTTTATGGACATGTCATTTTCACACAGTATAGGCATTACATTGGTTCCCCTATCCATTCCACTCCCCATTAGAGCACTTGACAGTCGACCATTAGGGTCCGGGTTCGTTAGGGAGGTTACAGCACCAGTCACTATGGTTACCCACGAGACTCATCGCAAGCAAGTCACTTTTTTATTATTGAGTCTCCCGCTTTCCCTGTTGTGTTAGGTATTCCTTGGTTAGCACTCCACAACCCCACCTTTTCATGGCCACAGATGGTTCTCACAGGGTGGTCGCAAGAGTGTCAGGGTAGGTGTCTCGGTGTTTCCGTTGGTGAAACCACGGTGGAAAGTCCAGACAGTACCTCCACCGTGCGCATTCCCCCTGAATACCTCGATTAGGCGCACGCGTTTTCCAAAATGCAGACAACCAAGTTACCTCATCGGACGGGTGATTGCACGATAAACCTCCGGGTAGACGCTGTGCCTCCCAGGAGTCATGTGTAACCCCTGTCACAGGCTGAAACGGAGGCTATGGAGACATACGTCACCGAGTCCCTGCGCCAGGGGTTTATACGTCCCTCCACTTTGCCCACCTCCTCAAGCTTCTTTTTTGTGAAGAAGAAAGACGGTGGTCTGCGCCCTTGCATTGATTCCCGATCACTGAACAAAGGGACGATATGATTTAGTTATCCTCTCCCCCTCATTCCTTCGGTGATCGAGTCAATGCATGGGGCGCGCTTCTTCACAAAATTAGATCTCCGGAGTGCGTACAACCTGGTGCGTGTCCGAGAGGGGGGCGAGTGGAAGACAGCATTCAGCACAACCACGGGGCATTATGAATACCTGGTGATGCCTAATGGTTTGATGAATGCACCATCCGTCTTCCAGTCCTTTGTGAACGAGGTGTTTCGGGACATATTTGGTCCCGGTGTAGTGGTCTACATCGATGACATTCTGGTGTATTCCGCTACGCGCGCCGAGCATATGTCCCTGGTTCGCAAAGTGCTGGCCCGACTGTTGGAAAATCACCTTTATGCCAAGGCAGAAAAGTGTCTGTTTTTCCAACAGTCCGTCTCCTTGCTCGGATACCGCATTACCACCTCAGATGTGGAGATGGAGGGAGATCGCATTTCAGCTGTGCGTAATTGGCCGACTCCAACCACGGTTAAGGAGGTGCAGCGCTTTATTGGCTTTGCCAACTACTATCGTAGGTTTATCCGGGACTTTGGCAAGGTCGCAGCTCCCATCACATCTCTGTTGAAGGGTGGACCGTCCCGGCAACGCTGGTCTGCTGAGGCTGACAGGGCCTTCAGTAACCTGAGTAGTCTGTTCACCTCAGCCCCGGGACTGGCCCACCCCTATCCATCACTACCGTTCGTAGTGGAGGTGGATGCGTCCGAGGTAGGGATAGGCGCGGTCCTATCTCAACGCTCGGGCATGCTACCCAAACTCCGCCCCCTGTGCCGCCTTCTCCAAGAAGCTCAGCCCGGCGGAGCAGAACTACGACATTGGTGATCAGGAGCTGTTGACTGTTGTCCAAGCCCTGACCGTGTGGAGGCACTGGCTCGAAGGGGCGAAACCCCCTTTCCTCGTCTGGACGGACCACTGTAACCTGGAGTACACCCGGGCAGCGAGGAGGCTGAACCCTCACCAGGCCAGATGGGCCCTATTCTTCACCCGGTTTGATTTTACTATATCATACATCCCGGGAACGAAGAACGTGAAGGCAGATGCACTGTCACGGCTGTACGACACAGAGGAGAGGCCCAGAGACTACACCCCCATACTCCCTGTTTACACACGTCCTGTTAACACACGTCTTCCGGCACTACGGGGTACCAGAGGACATAGTGTCTGACCGGGGTCCCCAGTTCACATCCAAGGTCTGGAAGGCGTTCATGGAATGTCTGGGGGTCTCGGTCAGCCTGACCTCTGGTTTCCACCCCGAGTCTAATGGGAAGGTGGAATGGGTAAATCAGGATGTGGGTAGATTCCTGCGGTCCTACTGCCAGGACCGGCCGGGGGAGTGGTCGGTGTTCTTGCCATGGGCCGAATATGCCCAGAACTCTCTCCGTCACTCCTCCACTAACCTAACGCCATTCCAATGTGTTTTAGGTTACCAACCGGTTCTGGCACCATGGCACCAGAGCCAGACCAAGGCTCCTGCGGTGGATGACTGGTTTCGGTGTGCGGAGGAGACGTGAAATGCTGCTCACGTCCACCTCCAACGCGCCGTGCGTTGTCAGAAGGCCAATGCTGACCGCCACCGCAGTGAGGCCCCGGTCTTCGTACCGGGTGATCGGGTCTGTCTCTCGACCTGGAATCTGCCCCTCCGCCTGCCCTGCCGGAAACTGAGCCCGCGGTTTGTGGGTGGCCGTTCAAAGTCCTGAGGAGGATAAACGAGGTTACCTATAGGTTATTACTCCCACATGATTATCATATTATCCCCTCGTTCCATGTGTCTCTCCTCTCTCCTCAGGTACAAGCGCAAAGGAAAGTGTTTCTTACTTAATCCAATTCCCCCTGAGACTCCCGCAGGGAGTGGGTCACTGCCAGGGTCACCATTGCCCAGCGCCCCTGGAGCAATTGGGGTTAACCCTTTACACTCGTACCCGTATACGGGTTGTAAATGGCAGATTTAGGCACTGATAAGCACCTAAATGTGACCGCAGTGGCTGTACAGTAACATGCTATACATGACATCAGAGCTCTGGCTTTGCGCTTCACAGCTCTGTATGGGTTTTGACTGACAGCCGTTCTGAACTTGCCAAACACGACAAGAAGTTGCCTCCATCCTTCCCACTAATTCAGCAACTTTTGCAAATGTTTTCTCGTCTGAGTGAGGGAAATGCTGTAAATTAAGATGAGACATTGAGGATTATAATAAATACCGCTTTGATATCATACAAGCAAGCCAAACACCCTTGAGTCCAAATGTGCACTTCACGTTTCCATATCATAAAACTCATGTCATATACAGTGTCAATGTTTATGGTCACTATGTTTGATGTACAGTTACAAGATGACATGGCGTTATACCCTGGGTTGTTCTGAACAGAATGAGCCTATGTTTGTCTATTGTGAAGAAAATTTGCTGCGGAACACACACCTGAATACACACGACTCCTTTCTATGCGCACCACAATTACAATCTGTTTCTCTGAATTGCCTTGTGAAAGCCTAACACTGTAAGATTATATTTTATAATTTAGCTAGGGTTGTATTCTAAACATAACAACTACAAGTGTGCTTGCTCTAGTTCGGTACAGCTAGGAGAGCTCAAAAAAGCACCTTATAGTTGAAGACTTCTTTGAGTCATAAAAGTGCATTGAAATTAATTAGGAACTGTGCACACTTTGGAGAGGTGTGTGGCCACTTGGAGACACCAGTTAGTCCTCTCACTCAAACCCTTGTCATTTTTTGTCTTATGTTGCACCTACCCCACATTTTCCAGGAATAGTCCTATCATGTTACTGAATGTATCCAGAGTATTTTCAGATTTCGTTATCAACAAATGCAGTGAAAAGTACAGTAAATGTAAAATGCACATAAAATCAACAGTCTTGTGTCAGGTAAACTGTTATGTCCTCATCGTTGGTCTAATTATTTTTTCCATAATCTCCAAACTGTTCTCTTTCAATTGCTACCATGGTTATGCATATGCTTTTCATATTTATTCTGTAAGAAACATTTCAATTTAGCCCTATCCATATAGGCCAATTCCCTTGCTTAAGGGCACGGTGACAGATTTGCTGCTTTACACGCACCTGAATGCACACGACTCCTTTCTATGCACACCACAATTAAGATCTGTTTCTCTGAATTGCCTTGTGAAAGCCTAACACTGTAAGATCGTATTTTATAACTTGGCTAGTCATGTTGGCAATAGAACCATCTTTCAAATTATGCCCACGGTAGGGCTGTGGCAGTCATAAAATTTTGTCAGCCGGTGATTGTCAAGCAAATAACTGCCAGTCTCACTGTAATTTACCGTTAATTAACGTAAACACATTTAGCATCTCCTGGCTTCCACGCATAGCCTAAATTGTATATGTGTGAAATTTGTTTTGATTTAGAATGGACCATTATCATGCACCTGTCTCGAAACAGGGGCAGAGGGAAAAATACATGTCATCTATGCACTTAAATAGCGAATGGAGGACGCTTTTCCCGTGGTTCATTTTCATGCCAGCCAGGTAGGCTATACTCCTGTTGTAAAGAGAAGCAATGTGCTTAATATTAGTAAAGTTGAGAAATAAATATAGTAGGCCTAGCCTATAGAAAGCTGATGGGATCCTCCTCTTTTTAATAGAGGCCATCACTCTGTTTTCTCACGCAATTGCATAGCCTATATAAATGTTGCGCAACATGAGCTCATGGGCTCTCATGAAGTGTTTGATTAGATTTTCGATCACATTTGCATTGATGTCAGAGTGATAATAGAGTGCTGAGGACCAGGCAGTTAGCAAGTTTGGTAGGCTACTAATGAACATCAGCAGCATCAGAGCTTGGAGAAGCCTAATTACCGTTATTAAACAGTCACTGTCATGACTAGTGGCAGTAATACGGTCACCGTAACAGCCCTATGTCCACCTAACCCAGACTGAGCCTTATAAGGGCACATCGACAGGCTTTTTATTTTATTTTTCCCCTTGTCGGCTCCGGGATTCGAACCAGTGATGTTTTGGTTACTGGCCCAACACTCTAACCGCAAGGCTACCTGCAGCTCAAAAATATGAAATTAATATTGGCTAAGAGATTTATCTGCATGAATTTGGCTTTGTGTGTATTTCTAAACCATCAAAATCAAATTTAATCAAAGTTTAATGGTCGAGTACACAGTTTAGCAGATTTTATAGCGGTTGCAGCGAAATGCTTATGTTACTAGCTCCTAATAATGCAGTAAAATCATCAATCAATCATTCAATCAATGAGCAGTGATAGAGCCAGTGTATAGTACAGTAAAATGTATTAGAGCCAGTAGTGGTTGTACCCCCAGCGCAGAGTACAGAGCAGCGGGACCAGGATGTGTAGTGCCAGGCATATCCACTCAGAAGGTTTCTGCTGACTGGAGGGTTGAAGCGGTAGTGGATCCCTGGGTTCTCCTCCCTCACCAGTACCTACACACACACACACACGTCACATATGTTGTTACATAGAATGATTAGTATAACACACACACAGCTAGGCCATTACCATGACGATGATGGTCATGTTGGTGGGCCCCAGGGCCTCCAGGGTCTCAGGTTGGTCAGTGGGCCGGCGGTAGTGGAAGGTGGTCCCTGCGATGTCAAACCTACGAGGGGTGTCGATGGTCAGCTTCCCATTGATGAAGAACTGGTCCCCTTTACTCTTCAGCACTGGAGCAGAGAAGAAAGGAGAGCATGTATAGGTCCACACGGAGAAGTGATGTTTTCAATGAAAATCATGGAAGCGGGGAACGGAAGCTATTTTTCCCCATTGAAAGCAGTTCAGCCAAGCCTGATCTCAAGCAATAACGACACACATAGTTTAAAACGATGTTTATAGCTCCCGTCCAAATGTCGTGAATGATATACAGTGGGGGAAAAAAGTATTTAGTCAGCTACCAATTGTGCAAGTTCTCCCACTTAAAAAGATGAGAGAGGCCTGTAATTTTCATCATAGGTACACGTCAACTATGACAGATAAAATGAGGGAAAAAAATCCAGAAAATCACATTGTAGGATTTTTTATGAATTTATTTGCAAATTATGGTGGAAAATAAGTATTTGGTCAATAACAAAAGTTTCTCAATACTTTGTTATATACCCTTTGTTGGCAATGACACAGGTCAAACATTTTCTGTAAGTATTCACAAGGTTTTCACACACTGTTGCTGGTATTCTGGCCCATTCCTCCATGCAGATCTCCTCTAGAGCAGTGATGTTTTGGGGCTGTCGCTGGGCAACACAGACTTTCAACTCCCTCCAAAGATTTTCTATGGGGTTGAGATCTGGAGACTGGCTAGGCCACTCCAGGACCTTGAAATGCTTCTTACGAAGCCACTCCTTCGTTGCCCGGGCAGTGTGTTTGGGATCATTGTCATGCTGAAAGACCCAGCCACGTTTCATCTTCAATGCCCTTGCTGATGGAAGGAGGTTTTCACTCAAAATCTCACGATACATGGCCCCATTCATTCTTTCCTTTACCTGGCACTGCAGGATTTGAGTCCCTGGCGGCGTAGTGTGTTACTGATGGTAGGCTTTGTTACTTTGGACCCAGCTCTCTGCAGGTCATTCACTAGGTCCCCCCGTGTGGTTCTGGGATTTTTGCTCACCGTTCTTGTGATCATTTTGACCCCACGGGGTGAGATCTTGCATGGAGCCCCAGATCGAGGGAGATTATCAGTGGTCTTGTATGTCTTCCATTTCCTAATAATTGCTCCCACAGTTGATTTCTTCAAACCAAGCTGCTTACCTATTGCAGATTCAGTATTCCCAGCCTGGTGCAGGTCTACAATTTTGTTTCTGGTGTCCTTTGACAGCTCTTTGGTCTTGGCCATAGTGGAGTTTGGAGTGTGACTGTTTGAGCTTGTGGACAGGTGTCTTTTATACTGATAACAAGTTCAAACAGGTGCCATTAATACAGGTAACGAGTGGAGGACAGAGGAGCCTCTTAAAGAAGAAGTTACAGGTCTGTGAGAGCCAGAAATCTTGCTTGTTTGTAGGTGACCAAATACTTATTTTCCACCATAATTTGCAAATAAATTCATTAAAAATCCTACAATGTGATTTTCTGGAATTTTTTTCCTCAATTTGTCTGTCATAGTTGACGTGTACCTATGATGAAAATTACAGGCCTCTCTCATGGGGAACTTGCACAATTGGTGGCTGACTAAATACTTTTTTTCCCCACTGTATAGTCATGTCATAGCCACCAGTCAACTCTATTACACTCAAAGTTACTTCAACTTCAACCAGTGAATGCTAGCGATGGCTAGCTATAATAGCTATTCTACCAGTCTGTCTTTATGAGTGTTAGCATGCTAATAGCACACCCTGCACACAGAAATTTGTATTTTTAAGGGGTATGCAGTAGGTTGATAACGATATCGCCATAGTACACTACATGACCAAAAGTATGTGGACACCTGCTAGTCGAACATCTCATTCCAAAATCATGGGCTTTAATATGGAGTTGCCCCCCCCCCCCCCGTTGCTAGAAAGTTGGAAGCATAGAATCGCCTAGAATGTCATTGTATGCTGTAGCGTACAAGGGGCCTAACCATGAAAAACAGCCCCAGACCATTATTCCTCCTCCACCAAACTTTACAGTTGGCACTATGCATTCGGGCAGGTAGCGTTCTCCTGGCATCGACCAAACCCAGATCCGTCCGTCGGACTGCCAGATGGTGAAGCGTGATTCATCACTCCAGAGAACGCGTTTCCACTGCTCCAGAGTCCAATGGCGGCGAGCTTTACACCACTCCAGCTGACGCTTGGCATTGCGCATGGTGAATTTAGGCTTGTGTGCGGCTGCTCGGCCATGGAAACCCATTTCATGAAGCTCCCGACGAACAGTTCTTGTGCTGACGTTGCTTCCAGAGGCAGTTTGGAGCTCCGCAGTGAGTGCTGCAACCGAGGACAGACGATTTTTACGTGCTATGCGCTTCAGTACTCGGCGGTCCCGTTCTGTGAGCTTGTGTGGCCTACCACTTTGTGTCTGAGCCGTTGTTGCTCCTAGACTTTTCCACTTCACAATAACAGCACTTACAGTTGACCGGGGCAGCTCTAGCAGGGCAGAAATTTGATGAACTTACTTGTAAGAAAGGTGGCATCCTATGACGGTGCCACGTTGAAAATCACTGAGCTCTTCAGTAAGGCCATTCTACTGCCAATGTTTATCTATGGAGATTACATGGCTGTGTGCTCGATTTTATACACCTGTCAGCAATGGGTGTGGCTGAAATAACCGAATCCACTAATTTGAAGGGGTGTCCATATACTTTTGTATATATAGTGTTTGTTGTATCAGACATTTCAAACAACATTCCCAGCTACTGAGAAAACAGTCATGGTATTTAATCTAAGAGACTGAACAATTTGGGCAGGTTGGTATTAGTAAGTTATAATAACAGCATTAATGATGTCACAATGCACTTACCTTTTAATTCCAGTTTTGAGTCTGAATGCACACTAGAGAATACAACATGAGTCATAAGAGTATAACACATTGCGTGACACAGAAGAGACATGAACTCTCACCTAGGAAATTGAGGGAGACGTTGAGCTCCTGGATATGAATGAACACTGATCCTTTGGGGATTCTGACCACCTCTTCATAACCTGGGATGGGATCACCCACACACACACCCACACACACACACACACACACACACACACACACACACACACACACACACACACACACACACACACACACACACACACACACACACACACACACACACACACACACACACACACACACACACACACACACACACACACACACACACACACACACACACACACACACACACACAAAGAAAGAAGAGAAGAGAAAGGCAAGGTGGAGGTTTTATTCACTGACATACTGGAGGGAGAATGATGTATAAGTAGTGTTTTACTCTGTGGGACTTCAATGGAATAAGCAGAGCCTTTCGGATTCCAACCAAATTCCTGGGCAACGTTCAGCTGCTAGAGTACAGTAACCATGTTTGAGGCCAGGCTGTGCTGTCCAGCCAGCCACCACAGTCCTGTAAAAAACAGAATAAATAATTTAATAATCCATTCCAATGGTGCGACTGCTGAGGAAAGAAGAGGCGTGGCTTTTGACCTCTCTCTGGAGTAGCAGTCGGCGCTGTGAGTAATTTCAGTAACCCAGCTCTGTACTTGCGGTTCCTGGCGGCTGGAGAGGGAGAGGTTTTTCTGTTAACAATCAGGGGCCTGTGCGGTAAACAGAGAGCCGAAGAGCAATAAACCCCCAGCCCTCAACCCCTGAGTAACCCTCCACCACTGCCAGAGTTACAGACTGGACAGACTGCAATGAGAGAGAGAGAGAGAGAGAGAGAGAGAGAGAGAGAGAGATATGGGGGGTTTGAGCGATGAAGAGAGGGTAGACTAGACAGATGAAGAGAAAACCTAGAAAGATAGATGAGAGAGAGCAGCTGACAGAGAGATGGAGGAGGTGATAACTCAGGTGAGAATGCAGACACCAGATGGGAGTAGTAAGGTTGCAGAGGCACAGGAGAATATGGCACCATCATCACTCTTAGGTGTAAATCACTAGATAGAACAACCTGCCCAGAACACCAGACCATCTGCTGTACTGCTTGGTTAGTGCCTGACAACAAACCCTATTTAAACCCTCCTGGGAGTAAGGATTGGTCTGCGCCTCAGAGACCTAAAAAAAACCTGTAGACATGACTGAGCGCTCTGTGGCTCATAAATCAGCCAGGACCCAGAATAGACCCGTCAGACAGTCGGGCAGGCTGTAGGCCCAGGCTGAGACGGCCACTGTGGTCCCAGCCACTGAGCCGCAGCCACCTCAGTAGGGTGTGTCCACTCTGAGGGTTCCAGAGGGGGGAGGTAGAGTGGTGGAGGGAGGAGAGCTGTTGCTGTCGTGGATGGAGAGGGCCTAGAATAGACCTGTCCGGCTCCGCAGGCGCAGGGCTACCACAACCCACACTGGCTGAACTTCACCTAAAACTGTCTGCCACGTGCCCGCCTGCCCCCCGAACGGGAGCAGGAAAAACCCAACTCACCCCCTCCCTCTCTCCCCGCAGCCTTCCCCCCCAGCGGAAAAGAGAGCTCATGGTCTCCTTATTATAAGAGCGTATTGAGAAGGCATTAGGGTTAGTGCAGTATCATGTATGACCCACGGCTCTATAATTGGACAGAGGACCACAAGCCTTCCAACCGTCACTATGATGGAATGATGGAACTGAGACTTCGGGAGTGTCTCTTGATCAGGACTGAGCAGTTATAGGCTGAGCCTGCCTCAAGCCATCGACAACTGCTTGGTTTTCTTGGAGATGGGGATGGCTAATTCTGTGTCAACTGTGGGCCTGGCTGGGCTGTATCAGTTTTCCCCTGACATGCTTCCACAGAATTCATCATGAACCATTAATCAAGGCCAAAGTGTTTAGACTGGAATAGGTACCGGAATAAAAGGTCATTCTGCACCTTCAGGAGGGAGGGAGGGGGGGGGTTGGCAGGGCAAGGCACGTGTACTGTAGATATTCACCAGTAACTCAAAATGATTAACTGCTACAGTATGTAGCTAATGAAACTAGAGAGCTCGCATGTGAACAGATAATTATACATTACTTTCAGAATGTCTGAGGACTCCTAACTCACATTGCACGGCAGTAGTCCAACACATATTTAGCTTGTGTCAGAATCCAAATGCATGCACACATTGTTAGAATTTCCATAAAACAATTAGGTTGCATAATCTCTCTCGTGGATGCCTCAAACGTAACTACATCTCATTCTCAGAACGTCGCTGGAGCTCCCTGGTCCAAAACACAGTTCCTTTCTTCTTTGACGTTTTATTTGTGTTGTTCATTTCAATTCCCCAGTCTAATTGAGAGGTACAGTATGTGCTATTTGCCTGTTCTAGAAGTGGTGTTGGAGGGAGCGGAGAGTGCGAGGACAGAGAAACGCAGCAATCAGGGTCTTAAAACTGCATTGTTGGTTAAGGGCTTGTAAGTAAGCATTTCACGGTAAGGTCTACACATGTTGTATTCGGCACGTGACAAATAAAAGTTGATTTGATTTGATTTAAAAAGAGAGACGTGTCCTGCTACCAAGGCTTGGAACAGAACAGTCCCCCCAGTGTATTTCTGTCCTGCCCTGCCTGAGAGAGGGGCCCACCACCACCCCCCAGCCCTGGGCTCTCTGAACCCCCCACTCCTCAGCCCACAACCCCCCTACTCAGAGAGTTATTGATATCTCCTACCGCTGCACTACCACTACTGTAACTGTACCCACATACTGTACTGTTTGCTGGGGTTTATAGTGTAACTCTAACTGTTGAGACCACCATAGTGCAGTAAGCTTTCTTCCTAGCAGTATTGTGGTGAAGGGACTCCTGCTCTGTATTCCACACCGTACCTCCTTCAGGCAGGGAGTCATTGAAGAGGCCCTCGATGGCCTCACAGCTGCTCCCGTCACCCCCGCAGATCCGGCAGCGGTCCTCCCGCACATCCGAGCCCAGGATCCGGTCACAGCCCACGTGCTGCAGGCAGACAGGCAGGGGACACAGGTCACAGGGAGCAGGCAGAAGGAAAACAGAGGGACATAGACACAACCACTAGCCTCTATAGAGAGAATAGCACACAGCACATAGTACTTTCAGCATCAGAAGTGAGGCTGATTGCAATGTTTCCCAGGTGCCTAATTAAAACACTGACACCACAGGATGCCAGGAAACTTTCAGAAAACACAACCTGTACTGCCAACAGTCGGTTCAAGCCAACGTAAACACAAATGTTGGTCTAAATTCACTCTTGCACTGTACAGTAACTCTAACATGTGAATGGATGGATAGAGCAACCCTGGGGCACTTCAAACCCTATTGACCCAGGCAGGTCTTAGTTCCATTAACTACCAATGTGGAAGCCATTTCTCCTTAGTAATGGGAGGACAGACACTTGTTCCAGGCCGGGCCCCGGCCCTTCAGACTGCTAGACTCTGGGCTCCGGGACACGTCCCCTGGTGAGCCTCGGCCAGGCCAGGCAGCCTGCTTCAGCCTGCGCATGTGTTCTTTGAGCCACCACTAAACGCCATGTGTTTCCAAGCCCACATCTCTCTCTCGCTGTTCCCTCTCAGTGTCCGCTCCATCTCCCTCTCTTGCCTCAAATCAAACCCTTACTCTCCGGATCCTGCAAACAATACTTACATTTTTCTCCTCACTGTTTTCGTATTTTTATATGCACCATAAATATAAGAGAGAGACGGGAGAAGAGAGGGGAGATGGGAGGATTGGGAAAGAAATGGGGAGATATATATATAATAAACTGTGAGAAATAATGAGAGAAAGAGAGTATGATGCATAGTCACTTTACCCCTACCTACATGTACAAATTACTTCGACTAACCTGTACCCCCGAACATTGACTCGGTACCGGTACCACCTGTATATAGCCTCATTATTGTTATTTTGTTGTGTTACTTTTTATTTAATTTTTTACTTTTGTTTATTTAGTAAACATTTTCTTAACTCTATTTCTTGAACTGCATGGTTGGTTAAGGGCTTGTACGTAAGCATTTCACGGTAAGGTCTACACCTGTTGTATTCGGCGCATGTGACAAATAAAATGTGATTTGATAGGGAAAGAAACAGAGTGCTGGAAAAAGAGCCAGATAAAGAGAGAGATGAGAACGCCAGAATGAGAGAGAGAGAGAGAGAGAGAGAGAGAGAGAGAGAGAGAGAGAGAGAGAGAGAGAGAGAGAGAGAGAGAGAGAGAGAGAGAGAGAGAGAGAGAGAGAGAGAGAGAGAGAGAGAGCAACAGAGCAATAGAGGGAGAGGGGCCAGCGGCTGCTGTGAATGTGTGTAGCAGCCAGCAGTGCAGACAGCTGAGCTGGAGGGTCACTGAGTTCCTGCTGCACACAGAACAGAACGGAGCAGAACAGAGGAGAGGAGAGGAGAAGAGAGAACAGAGCTGAGCTGTTGATAAACAGGCTTCTCTCTGAGTCTGGACGAGCCCAGAGACTCCCACTCCCAACCCCTCCATGTGCCCAGGCCCTGAGACTGCTCCAAACAAAGCACAAGAGAGCAGAGTGATGGACGTTCAACTGCCTAATGAAATCCAGCTCTGCTCCACATAGCTGCAGGAAACCACAAAACAACAATTGAGATGTTTTGTGGTTTGGTGTCATTCACTGCAGCGAGTGTATCTTGTTTTTTCCTCCTCCCCTCCCGGCCCAAAGCCACTCCGCTTCTTGATAGGCTCTGAAGCCATCCAAAAACAACAGGACGGGGGAATAATTGGCATTATTTGTGTGAGCAATGAGCACTACCATCTGAAAGGGAATACTACTTCAGGGTAAATCCATTTGAATTCAATCACTTTTTGACAGCATCCCTTTTGATTTAAACAAAACTTTCCATACATGTTTGCCCATGGAGGAAGTGGTCAGAAAGGGACTTTTTGGACCCGAATGCCAAAACATTCAGGAGATAAAGGTGCTCAAAGTTCATCCATTTTGCATACCCCACCCTACCATGAGACATCCATGTCTTCAGCACTGGAGAAGATAATCGGTTGAGTTTGATATAATTTAAAAGCTTACAAACAGTGTTGTCAAACTATTTTATTATTCATTGAAAAACATTTTAAAAAACTTTTACCTTTAACGTCAATTATTTAATGTGACGTTAAACTCCGATTTTTTTTCATTTTGCATATGCTGTAGCTTAAACCCTATTTCACATCATCTGAGTTTTTGTGTTGTGCCTGCCATCGGTTGAGACACAACATGCTCTTGAATACAGGGTGGGTGTCATTTCAATCATAGAAATAGAATTCATAGAATGGACCTATCCCTTCAGACCACAATGGTACACCATTTGAAATGTGAATTTTAACTTCTAATTACTACCACAAAGATGACGGCTGGTCTACCTAGCATTGAATGTCAACTTAAATGGTAATGTCTATTCTATTATCTATATTTCTATTTCAATAGGTTTCCTATGGATAGACAGTATAATTTAAAACAACAGATATTCCCATTCAAGTCAAGATTCTCTGATGTATGGAACTCCAGCCATCTTTGTCGTACCATTTGAACATTGACATTTCAATTTGATTCCCGTTTTAGTACATTTATTTAGTGTACCCTGCACGCACAACACATGGAATTCCTGGTCTCTGGCAGTATTTGGAACTGCTGATCTGCAGTCAACGCCAAGTTCATCTCAGCCTATGCTGCCCTTCAGTCCCTAGACCTTTTGTCCCTGATGGAGACATGGATCAACCTAGAGAACACTGCTACTCCAGCTGCTCTTTCTTCATCTGACTAGAGCATCTGGTCATGCACAGGGCTACTCATTTCTCCCTCACTCACTTGTCCATCTCCTCATTTGAATTCCATGCTGTCACTAGGGCTGTTGTGGTGACCGTATTACCGCCACACCAGCAGTCATGAGTCATGACCGCAGTAAAATTCTACATAATAATAATAATAATAATATGCCATTTACATGACCGTTGAGTCACGGTAATCTCCTCTTATACACTCAGGACATGCGTTGGTAGTATCCAACTCGCTAATGGCCTGGTACTCAGGGCTCTATCGTCCTTCTAACCACTCTGACATCGATGCAATCGAAAATCACATCAAAACAGTATTGTGCTTTTAAACCTCATCTCACTGTGATTGATCAATCTGAAGAAAGAAGTTCAACAACAGGTTGAAACTGAGTGGAAAACATGGTCATTGTGGATGTTGTTTGAAAGCCTAACAACGAAATGGCCAGCGCTTTCTAAGGTGATGGTTAATTAAAAACATCCATACAAATTAGAGCTTATACATATGCATAGGCCTATATGAGTCCAAGTCTGAAAAAACCCTGAATTAAAATACTGCATATTACGCACCACAGAAAAACATACATAAAAAACGGATTTAAGATGTCTTTAATTAAACACATTATAGTAATTGTCTTTGAGTGTGGACTGTATTATTATGCATACTGGATGGACTGGTTACCTTCTGCTACACTCCAAAGTTTCTATTCATGAGTCTGGGAGAGAACTTATAGGGCTAGGCAATGCTGTTGGTTCATTGATTGTGCAGGGCGGCTGACAGTTAGCCTACAACAGTGAATTTGTATTTGATTTTGAATAGCCTAGTAATAGGGCATTTTTTATATTTTCATAATTAATAGGCTGACACATTACCTTTAGCTACAGAATATCTCACCACCGTGCGTTTCCATCTCTTCCTCTTTCTCCTTCATTACTTTCTCCAGCACGCAGAGAGAGGAGCTGTCAACAGTTTAATGAAATATGTTTCGTTGTGAAAACATGTTACTTTCGATGTTTCCGAACAGATTTGACTTGGTTTCCCAAATTAAGCACTTGGTAGCTGCAGGAACAGGGTTGAGGAGCCCATGGCACACAGGGTGGAATATCACCTGTCACACATCGAGAGGCTGGCTGCATGCTCCTCAAACAGTGGTTGATGCATGGAGTGAAATAACCAGACCGGAGTAGCCTACCTGAACTAACAGGCGGATGACATGTCTTTTTTTCTCCTGCCCCTGTTCCTGCCCATTTGATAATGGGCCATTCTAAATCCAAACTAATTTAACATATTAGTAAAGACAATATTACATTGAGAATAGTCTGATGGGTGATAATATGGTCACTTGATGACAGAACAGTGTGTGCTGCCTGAGGCAAGGAACAGAGCGAAAGCTTTTTTTGCGACTTTCTCAAATCATCAATAGCCTATAGTCGCATCATGCAGCCCATATATGTTTTGATTTCTAAGACATTCTAAGGTTTGTATCATTAACAACTAAAGTTGCCAAATAACTCAAAATCTAGCGTAGCCGGTAGGACCTGCTTCAAATTATCACTTTTGCGCTCAACATTCATTCAACCTTCATATGTGCACTCGCTCCATAATGGGAAAAAATCCTTTCTATTTTATTCAGCTAAGTTCAATTATATTCTTCTTACTATAAAATAATTTAATATAAAATAATGACACAGGACTTATAGGCATATCTTGTCTGCTAAATGAACAAGCCTACAGCCTATTGTTAAAATGTAAATGTTCCAAAGGCATGCATCAGCAGCTTGTATGTGTGGAGGCCTGGAGATGCTAAACGTGTTTATGTTTACTAACGGTCAATTACCATGAGCCCGGCAGTCTTTTGCATGACAATAACCAGCTGACAAAATGTAATGACCGCCACAGCCCTAGCTGTCACTGTCATTTGTCCACTCAAGCTTAACATTGCTGTCATCTATCGCCCACCAGGTGCCCTAAGAGAGTTCCTCAATGAGCTTGAGACCTTGATAATCTCATTTCCTGACAATGGCTCACTGCTCTTCGTACTGGGCGACTTCAACCTCCCGACATATGCCTTTGATTAATTTCTTTCCAACTCTTTCTTTCCCCTCCTTGCCTCTTTTGACTTCACCCTTTCTCAGTCTCGTCCCACTCACAAGGCAGGCAATACGCTTGACCTCATCTTTACTAGAGGCTGTTCTTTGACTA